GTATTAAAGCCTTATAATAGTTTTAATGCATGACAAGAAAAAAGCACAAAGTGCTTTGATCTTCATGAAATACCGCTATACTGTAAATAATGTAATTTTAATACAGGCAAGTTATGTGATGAGCAAGCATGGTCAATTACATTGAAAATGTAATCAATTACAGTAAAATTGTAATCAATCACAGTGAAAGTGTTTCAGCTGTAATTGACTCCATGCCTGGTGACAAGTATACTGGACAGAATTGTACTGATATAGTAATTTTATATCAAACATATTTTTGTAGATTTTGTTTAATTTTTCTGTTTTACAGTATGATTTATGAAGTTCAGGATACATACAGTATTTGTGACTTTTGAATCTGTATACATTATTCATACTGTAGTATGGATAAATATCAGTATGCAAATATACTGGCACACTATATCACCACAGTCAAACAAAACATAATAGTATTCTGTTTGATATATTTTTGTGGCTTACTGTACAGTAAATTTGAATGAATAGAATTGGACCAATGTAAACTTACTTAGTTAGATCTCTAAGCTAGACTTGTAAATACAGTACTATTTACCATTATATTGTGTTCATTCTATTTTTGGCAATCAGTACTCAAAATCTCTGCGATTCATAGAATAATACTGTACCTAACGGTATTTGTTCATACTGTGCATACAGTACGAAATATTCTTTGAAGGCCAAGGCTATTCACAGACAAGGTAAATGAGCATTTGATTGGTTAAAGATAACATTTCGGCTGTAGGATGCGTTCTTGGGTAGTAGGCAGCCCTAGGGTGTGTTCGGGTGAGAAGGGAAAATTTACATAGGGTTCTACCACCAGTTTGTGCAGAACTCGGCTTTCAAAAAACCAAATAACCTCTGATGTAAGATCTAAGGTATTATGCAAATGATGAGTTTTATCAAGTTTCCCTGGACCTTTGCGTCACCCCACGCTTTAATTAAGAAACGGACTTTGTCAGGCATTTCCATTATTTCAATGAAGATATGCTGTTGTTTTGCCGATCACCCACGGCCTGCGTACTGTTGGTACTTTATTCAAGCGGATGTATGTATATGGAGTGACTCCCCTAGTTTTGAAATGTGTTGCGTAGGAAAAAAACATCACTCCTATGTGTGACATTATATCGCATGTAAATTATGTATGAGCCAAAGTGATTGTTTACGTTTAGTTGTTCTACAGATTATCATAACTACCTGTAACTCTAATGCTTAATGCCAAGCTGTATAATTCATATACAGTCTTAGAGGTTTATTGGTAACAACATGAAGCACACTCCAAAGACTACAGTATTCGGACATAATTGATGCAGTATTATTATAGTACTGTATGTCATCTGTTACCTCAGTATTATTATAGTATGTCGTATATTGCCATAATTTCAAATGCCATCAAGGATTGTACAGTATAATCGGTAGTGTCATAGAACTATAATTTGAAAATGGGATACCGAGTAATTAGATTAAGGTCATTATCTTCGCCTGTTTAAAGTCTGAGGTTCCTAATTGGTGCACGAAATAGGTTCAAATATACCGCCTTCGCTAAGCCTTGCCTCTGGCGGCGCGATACAGGGAGGGCAGACTGTGTTGTGCCAGTCAAAGCATGGAACTATTTATTGGTCCCATTAGAGCATACACTTACGGTATATTGTGTGCTACACTTGTATTTCAGCCCTGCAGCTGATACACAAGGAGACCAGCGATGGGAATTGAACCGAGACCTAGAGATCTCAACAGTTCAGTACACACACAGTGGCTACCACCAGTTTAGTCAATTGCACTAAAGCTGTCTAGTGAATACAGTACATACTGTAGAACTTTTAGCTATTGGGAAGGATCTAGAAATTATTTTGATGCAAGTTTGCATCAGAAAAAAATCATAGGAGTGATACCTTTTAATCGTACCAAATACCAAACTTTTCGCAAGTGTTCATTTAGTGACAGCAAACACTCGCACATCAACTGACCATGCCTTCAACACCCGGGTGTGATCCCTTGTTTACTGTAATAAAACATTTTTTATTCAAGTCTTATTTTGAAATACCGGATCCCTGAGCTTCTGGCGTAGGGCAATCACACTGCTACAATGTCTATAGGAAACGAATTTGACAATAATTGGTCTGGGCTTGGTATGATTACTGAGCCTTTTGCCAGCCCTATGAAATCTGTCAATATGATCAACTGATAGCTTAACACCTAGCTGTTTTTCTGCAAGAGTAATTATAATGTTATTGGTATTTTCATTTAGTTTCCTCTTTTACACTTAACACACGAAGACAGTTTTGCCTTGAATATTACTCAAGATCATCAATTTGGGAGTTTTCAACTGCTTCATCGACATCATCCACTACCGTTTCAAGTTTGGGGCTAAGGTGGCCTTAGTTCTTAGTTTATATCATTTACCTTAAAGGATAATCCAGATATTTTAACATGCATATCGTTAATTTTAGCCACGATCTGGTTAAAAGAATCGTCGATAGATGTGATGGTTTTCTTAAGCATTTCTTGTATTTGTCTAGATTCAAACATCTTCTCGAAACAGTTTCGTGTTAGGATGGAAAGTTGATCACTTTCGAATAGCTTAATAACTGCTTGATGAACCAGCTGTGTGTTGTTGCGTGTCACCGCACCTGTGGCGGGAAGATCGGATTGTTTCTCACTCATGCCGTATAAACAACGATCACAAATCTCAACATCATAGGGAGACCAATGTTGTTAATAAAGTTCACTTATTTCAAAATAGTTACGGAGCAATCGCACAACGATGTTGCTCGGTCGAAGTCTTAAAATACACATCCAAATACTAATTTGGATGTGTATTTTAAGACGTACTGGGTATTCAGTACGATAACACATCAGGTAGGGCAAAACATCACTCCTATGATATTTTCCTGATGCAAACACGCATCAAAATAGCATTTGCAGTGCCCACTGCTACTTGGGGATCAGATTCAATGCGTAGTCACTAAGCGCAAGCTCGGTGGTCTAGTGGTTATGACACCAGGCTAGTTATCTTGAAGTTGTTGGTTCGATTCCCCCCGGAACCTAGTAGGTTTTTTTTTTGTTCGCAAGTATTTGGGAACGTATTAGGTACAGTACCGTAACACGTCAGGTAGGGCAAGACATCACTCCTATGATAGAAATTGTTTGCCAGGATTGAACCCAATGTATCAGGATTGGAAGACTAGCATACTGTATTAACCATCTTAACTTTCTTAATTTTCCTATTTTCAATTCTAAACTACCATCATGTTATTTTATAGCGAGTTTGCCTCAAATGTACTGGTAACAAACATTGATCACTTAAATAACTGACATTTAAACAGATAATGCTTAAATAATATCAACATTAATGTACAGTATTTTTTGCCATTCATCATTGAAGATAGCTACTGTATAGACCCAAGTGATGTAAAATATTCATTTTTCTGTTGGTTAGACAATCTTGAAGGTAATTCTTTTTGATGATTTTAGGAAAGTTATTTCTTGTACAATATGCTCTTGAGATGGTTTAATCACAAGCATTACTTTCATGATTTCCTCAAGGACGTCGATAAACCATCAAATTTTCATCTTCATAGTAATTGATGATTTTACCAGCAGTACACAGAGTTTCCTAGAATTTGATTAAATATCTATCCAGTTTCCTGGATAGATATTTAACCTGGGAATGTTCATAAAATGTTCAGTACGTAGGCATCGATAAGTCTATTATTGGTGTAAAAAATATATTTAAAGAAGTAGTTTTTTGTTTTGTTTTTGTTTTTGTTTTTTTTTACAAAAACAGTTTCCCAATTTTTTAAAATTTCCCAATTTAATAATAATTGTAAATACAGTACTACACAAACAAGTACGGCACTTTACTGAAATAACCGAGCTACTTCATATGTAAGCAGCCTTCAATTTGATTATCAGCATTTTTTCTAAATTATTTTTTATTGTATTATTTTATAAATATTATTGTAATTAATCTATGAATTTTAGATATTCTCAATTGTTTATATTTTGACTGTTAATTTACAATATTGCAGTTTAAATGTAGTTTAAGGTTTTTATATTTTCATTATTAATTTTGCAATCTAATTAGTTAAATGATTCTATTTGTATTCTTATGCAAAGTGCCTTTGAACATGATTACTCATGAAAAGGGCGCTATAGAAATTTGGTAAATAAATAAATCAACTTGGGCCTTAAAGATGAATTTCTGTGGCTAATGTGACTTACCTACCCATTTACTGTTTTTAATTATGCTATGCGTACTTTATAAACTTGATCTTTACTTGAATAATACGTTAATATTAAGTTTATAAAGTATGAGGGTTTATATGAGAGCTATGACCTTTGGCTGGGACACCTTAGTATTAACCATTTCCTGCCAACATCCGTAATTGTACAGGATATAAGTAAATTCCAGTCTCAACATTATTGTTAATTATCATTAAGGTGTCCTACATGACTGCCATAGGCTAATTCATAGAATTTTATATTGAGCATTAAAAGTTAACACTCAGTAAATAATCTTATATTGAGTATTAAAATTTAACGCTCTGTATTACAGAATGATACAAATGTGTTGACTTTTAGGTTTAATTATTAATTTACAGACTTTAGTAAAATTTTTTGTGGGCAATTAAAACAAAAATTATTATGAAAGAATCAGGTCTCCCTCCAATTAAAGACCACATTTTGGGACTGAGGTTTTCATGGTCTTTAGCAAATTTGATCTGAATATAAAACTACATTCTTAATTTGGGACCACATAAAAGTGGTCTTTAATTGGAGGGGTCTTGAATTTAAGGGAGGCCTGTATTTGTTTTGTCATATTGTCATAAGTGGTCAAAGTTTGTTTTAAAATTATAATTACAAAGGCACTCTGAAGTATATGTTTACTGTGGGAAGCCTGCATTGCTGAAAGAAACCATAATAAATATTTTAATATTTCTATACAAATAAAATACATTTCTTCAATTTCTTTAAACTTATAGCTCTACAGAATAAATAATAGCAAGAACGGTACTTCACTCATCATTTCACATTGAGGACTTGGGCAAGTACTTGCCCACAGGGCAACATACATCATGGTCCTTGAACGTATAGTGGCAAGCATATTGAACAAGTACTTGGACAAGTACATCGAGAATCTTGATACAGATAACTTGGATGTTGGTCTTTTCAGTGGTAAGATACCTTATTCAAAATAAACAGTTTAACATGAAGATCATGTGAGTTTAGTACTGAATGGATGCATGTGAGATTTTAGAAATATTGATGATACATGCATGCATGATAGTATTAGTAGAATATAGATGGTGCATGTGAGAAAGTAGATTCATTGATTAGTTGTATTTTGCAATAATATTAAAAATATAAAAATGATTTAGAAACCTATAAACAGCCTAAAAGTTGTATAAAAATATAGTACAGGTCTTTCTCTAAATTTGGGACCGGGGTTTCTATGGTCTTTAGTAGCTTTGGTCTCTAGTTAGAATAATAAAGAAAAAATTTGTCAATTTGGGACCACAGAAAAGTGGTCTTTAATTATAGAAAGAGACCTGTATTTGTGATGGTAGAAACATATTATAGACATGATGCATTAGATGGTAAAGGATGCATGAAATGGTAAAAATATAGAGATATGGTACAAATTGGTCAGTATGAAATGGTAGAAATAATATTAGATTACCGTATGTACACTGATGTGTATAGTTAATGCTTGTGAGCATCAAAGTGAATTTAAAATAAATATGATGCATACTGATAAATGTGATTTGATGGAGGTTCTGTTTTTTCCATTTGCCCACTATTCACATAGTATGGAGTTGCTTATTTTCTATATTCGTTTGTTTCTATCCAGGTCAGTTAAACCTGCAGGATTTGGAACTGAAGCCAGAGGCATTGGTAAGTATGACAATTAATAATTTGTTTATTGATGTTGTTTATTTAATAATCTTCACCTCCCAGACAAACTGAAGTGCATGAGTAATACATAAACAAAGGCTAGCTATAACAAAACATTTCGTCATAAAGGTAATACATGTAAATTAACTAATTCTTACAAACATTTAAAGTAAAGCGTCCATTTCATGAATGCTGATTTTATAAATAAATTTTAGGAATGAACTTTGTTTTTGATGACATTATCAACAGTTACTGTATTAACATCAATAAAAGGGTGATAATGCATACATTTTTCTTATCAAAATCGAGTTTGTTACAGTAAAATGTCCATTTTGCGTTCTCCTTGGTACCAAGGGGTATTCGTAAACTAGATCAGGTATCAGTTTCCAATACCAAAGGCCTAGCTATCGCCTGCCATTGAGTGCCGATAGGCTGACGGCAGCCAGGCCTAGCATGAACCTACAGTGCAGCAGCGTGTAGGTGTAGGTCATGATAATAAAGAGTGTAAGGGGTTCAAAAACTTTTTGATGATGTCATGAACGTTTGAGCACAAAATGTGTGGTGTAAAATTAACCAGGATTTAGCAGTGTCTAAAATTTTCATTTTCGTTTCATTTATTTGTCTAAATTGTCAAAAATCATAAAATATACAAATGACAGTAAAATTAAATGAGACTGGCTTGCCAAAAAGAAATTCAAGGTCTCTGTAGAGTGGGTTTTTACAATTGAAATTAGCAATTAGAATAATATAAACAGTCATTCTCTATGCTTGTCTGGCTATGGTCAGTGTAATTCCAGGTTATTAGCTGCTTGCAGTACACCTGAAACTCTCATGTTCGAGAATGGAGGAATTATTTTAGTGGCAAAGAAAGTGATTACTAATTAGCAATCTCTGTTTTTTTTTTCTGATATTGGGATATTTTCCTAGAACTGTTGTTCAATAAAATAACAATAATAAGGAGAAAATCTTTGGATGTGCTTCAAAACAGATGATCCAATACATTTAAAACGTTGTCACCCGATTACTTGTGCATTAAAACTCTTTACCAGCCTCCCTGGTTTCACAAAAATATAATAGCCTAGTACGTGCTTTGTGGATGCTTAAAAGGTTTTAGATTCATATTACTTTCATGTGCAAAGATTCTTGTAGTCAATCTAAAAATATTACTTCACTTTACTGTAAAAACATAATCTAAACAAATATTTAAAATATAAAATACAATTTTGAAATTAATAAAATGGAATAGACATGTACCCAAACTTAAAATGAGTTTTTTTTTTTTTTAAAGAATTTACAAAGAAAATATTTAAACCTTGTCACTTTAGTTATTATTTGTAGCCCAAGTAACAAATTGTTTGTAATGATAATAATTACCAGGTATTACTACACTATTTTTTTAGTAAATTATTACCAATAGTATACATCAAATAAATGTTAAAATTATACATTCCCAAGTACAAGTTCAATGTATTTCATGATACACAATTCCTAACTAGTCGACGCGAGTGACTCAGTTTCGTGTCTCCAAAAATATGAACATTTGATTGGTTGAAATTGTTTATTTTGGTTCGCCCATTTATCCAAATACGGAATATAAGATTATGTCATTCTTTTGGCATCCTGGTACCTGCATTCAGTGTTTTACAAGTCGCTTATTCCATCTATCTCTAAATTAACTTTCTCGTTGGTGGCGCTGTCCAGAATGAGAAAAATAATAAAAAATAAAAGACTTGTGGCAAGTCTAATCAAAATCGAGTTTGTTACAGTAAAATGTCCATTTTGCGTTCCCCTTGGTACCAAGGGGTATTCGTAATCTAGATCAGGTATCAGTTTCCAATACCAAAGGCCTAGCTATCGCCTGCCATTGAGTGCCGATAGGCTGACGGCAGCCAGGCCTAGCATGAACCTACAGTGCAGCAGCGTGTAGGTGAAGGTCGTGATGATAAAGAGTGTAAGGGGTTCAACAACTTTTTGATGATGTCATGAAGGTTTGAGCACAAAATGTGTGGTGTAAAATTAACCAGGATTTAGCAGTGTCTAAAATTTTCATTTTCATTTCATTTATTTGTCTAAATTGTCAAAAATCATAAAATATACAAATGACAGTAAAGTTAAATGAGACTGGCTTGCCAAAAAGAGATTCAAGGTCTCTGTAGAGTGGGTTTTTACAATTGAAATTAGCAAATAGAATAATATAAACAGTCATTCTCTATGCTTGTCTGGCTATGGTCAGTGTAATTCCAGGTTATTAGCTGCTTGCAGTACACCTGAAACTCTCATGTTCGAGAATGGAGGAATTATTTTAGTGGCAAAGAAAGTGATTACTAATTAGCAATCTCTGTTTTTTTTTTCTGATATTGGGATATTTTCCTAGAACTGTTGTTCAATAAAATAACAATAATAAGGAGAAAATCTTTGGATGTGCTTCAAAACAGATGATCCAATACATTTAAAACGTTGTCACCCGATTACTTGTGCATTAAAACTCTTTACCAGCCTCCCTGGTTTCACAAAAATATAATAGCCTAGTACGTGCTTTGTGGATGCTTAAAAGGTTTTAGATTCATATTACTTTCATGTGCAAAGATTCTTGTAGTCAATCTAAAAATATTACTTCACTTTACTGTAAAAACATAATCTAAACAAATATTTAAAATATAAAATACAATTTTGAAATTAATAAAATGGAATAGACATGTACCCAAACTTAAAATGAGTTTTTTTTTTTTTTAAAGAATTTACAAAGAAAATATTTAAACCTTGTCACTTTAGTTATTATTTGTAGCCCAAGTAACAAATTGTTTGTAATGATAATAATTACCAGGTATTACTACACTATTTTTTTAGTAAATTATTACCAATAGCATACATCAAATAAATGTTAAAATTATACATTCCCAAGTACAAGTTCAATGTATTTCATGATACACAATTCCCAGTTGAAATTAGTTATTTATATAAATTACATTTGAATTGTAGTTGTATTACCATATGTCTCATAATTTTGAAGGGTAATCGTTTTATATACCAATATATAATACACATTCTGGCCCAGCATTCCTCATATAAACCAATTTAATTGTCAGGCAACCACTTATAAACCAGTTAATCAATATCAGTGGAAGATGTATTTATCGTGAGGGAGATATTTTAATGCCTCAAAGCCAAGCAAGTTACTGTAACTGTCTGTTCTGAGGCAATTATTCTTTGCACAGCAAGCACAGTATTGCTGCGTATCAGATCTTAATCAAGCTTTCTCGTAATGTTATACGTAAACGGCCCAAGAGTAGCAGACTCTCCAACCATCTTCATTGAAGCATGTATTGAGTTTGCTCACTTTCTAGCGTACAACTGTTGTAAGCGTTAAATGTTCTTATTGCTGTCGCTGTCCTTTGTTCATCTTATGTTGATTGATGTATGAAAATTCAGTAGATAGGCAGTATTGCAATCATTTTCATCATTATCATTTAATAATCCTCATCACTATCATCATAATCACCTTCTTTTAATAATTATCAGTCATCCCCATCAACATCATTCTCATCAACATCATTTTCATCACAGAGTGTTCTCCCAATTGAAAAATATTTACTGGTAAATTTGTCCATAAAAATTCAGCAATGCGTGCATTGTGAGGCATTACACATTTTATGTGAGGTTTAATGACTTGAAGAAACAATCAACACATATATTCATAGCCTAGGTTTACTGGAATGATGTTAATTTATTGAAAAAGGGCCAGCCTACTACCTAGGCATAATCAGTAGTTTTTTATTTTACAAATTCTAAATTTTACTGGTTTGCCGGTTCTTTTTACAGGTGAAATTGACGGCTAAAACGACTTCGGGAGAACACTGTCACATTATCTAAGACTAGGAGCAGCATCAACATTAATAAGTATTTTTCATCGCCATCATCAACTTTAATATCAGAAACATTATCATTAATCCCATTACATATTATCACCATCATACTCTTGCCATAAAATTTAGTTAACTATCATGAATACATTTGACATGCTCAATGCTCAGTATCATTCAAGTATGCTTTGACATAAAAAAAAAAAAAAAAAACAAAAAAAAAAACAAGAATAGTTAACTAAAACAATAATGTGCTAAAGATGGATAAAAACAAAAATGTGTGCAATTTTCCCAAAAGGTTTTAGTTTTAATACTATATTTACCTCCTTGTTTTAAAACATACAATTCTAGAGATAATCACTTTGGAATATACAGTATTTGTGCAAAATTCACTAAGATGTCATGTGATGTAGATTGCTGCAGCTTATAACGCTGTAGGACTGCCATTATTATGCAAATTCATCATTATGAATGTCTAATACTATTATAGTACTACACTGCTAGTACTACACTGCTAGTACAAAGCAGGCAGGGAGAATATAATGTGAGCTGTTTATGAGACACAGCTGGACACTTTAGCCTAACAAAAGTCTGGATATTAAGGCTAACAGCAACCAGTAGTCTGGATAATAAAGGTTAATAGCTGCAGCATTAGATTTTTATATGTTAAAAAAAATGAATTTATATCATTGTAGTAAAGGTTTATAATACCTCTTTATAGGAAAATTTATTTTTTCTAAAATGTAATTTTTTAATCGTGCATAACATTAATTGCTCACAAGTAATTGTTGTCATGGTGATATTAAATTTGCTAATCGGATATTGATTTATATCGATTCGTAAATTTATGCATTCAGCAAAAATCATGTGGCACACAAACTAAGATCACAAGATTATAATACCATGCAAATTTCAAACAAACTCTATAAAACGGTTTCAATTTAGGAAAACCCTGAAATATTGAACCAATAATTATATTGAATACAATTCAGAATTGTATTTGTCTAATAATGTGAGATGAACAAATTAAATGAAAACCGAAAAAAAATTAAACAAAATTGTTTTGCTTCAACATCTAATTTAGCATCGTGGGAAAAAATACAAAATCGACAAATGCAGTGAAGAAAATTAATAAATTAGACTCAATAGGCCTATTGAGTTGATTTTTATAGTTGAATATTAGCATTTCAATATAATTATGGTTCATTATTGATTTTGTACAATAAATTTCATGTTTTGTTGAAGTCCATGGTGAATGTAAGTAAAAATAAGCTTACTGCACTGATGTTTTCTGATCACATGTACAAACAAAAATGGATTCCTTTGTAATAACAATTTTGTAGTTTATGAATGTGGTTGGTTGCCTTTTATTCTGGAAAATTATGTTCTTGTCACTGACATGCTGCAGCTGAACAAAAATGAGGAAAGTGAAAGAAAGGAGATATGGCCTACTGTAAAAATATACATGTTTTTATAGTTTGTAGCATGAAAATGAAATATATAAAATAAAAAAACAAGATCCTGTCAACATGCACCATTAATAACACTTATTTTCTGTCAAGCAAGCCAAGATTAAAATGCTCTTAATTTTCCATCAACCAATCACTGTATACCAAGGCCTATTGCATCATTCACTATAAATAATATATCAGGATGAACATAACAATTCCCTCAGGAAGGCTATGAGGGTTGTCAAAACCTGATGCAATGATCTAAATGTTAAACACTGATGCTACTTTTTTTAATTTTTTTTTTTTATTTCAACCATCTTTAAAGAGGGTAACCCTTCCAGTTTAGCCTTAACTGATATTCAGTGGCCCCTCTTTAATAAAATCAAAGAATAGTACAAACAACATCATTACAACATAATAATAATAACAATAATAATAATAATAATAATAATAATAATAATAATAATAATAATAATGATAATAATAATAATAAGAAGTGTAGTATATGACCGTGTTCGAAACATTAAAGCGTCTGTAAATATAATTCTCTATAGAATCAATTGCATTCAAGGTCAATACATAACTTAATTCCATTTTGATCATCATGTGATCATCATGTGATTATCTGCAGACTACTACAGTACTGTACATTAAATGTGCTAATTAGCATATTCACTATAACACAGAGTGTAGGATTTTTTTTTTCAAGAGATCTGGTTTATTAACATTTCACCAGTGTTTAAAAACAGCAAAGCTTTATACTTTCTTTGAGTTTTTTTTACTTATGGATTATTTGATTGATTGAAATGTTACACTTTATTGTATTTAGGCGAGACTTTTTTTATATATTGTTTTATATATTTTTTTTAATCTTCAGAGGATGGGATGTCTTATTTAGGAAATAGTTTTGCCAAAAAACATCCAGGCGGAGGAGAAAATAAAATAATATTTTAATGGGATGGTTAAAATGCTTTAAATTTATATAATTAGGAAGAAATATACATCTTATTTTTGGAAAGGCAGCGTCAGGCGTAATAAAAATAAAGAAAAACTTTTTTCTGAAATTTCCATTTTTTTGTGGTGGCAGGTGCGCTAATCGGCCAAAAATTAAATTTTATTTTTATTCTAAATCAATATTGGCGGGCGGTGGGTCCGCCTCACAAGGTATAAAAAAATTCTTGCCTTACGACTATAAATGACCGTATTGTGCCTGATAATATTGGCATTTAGTTTATGAAGTATCACATGATGTATGTTGTGTGTTAATATCACTTGCTTTTTGCATGGAACATAAAATGCCTAGGTTAGCAGATGATGAAAATATATTCTTTAAAAATATGAATCATTCAATACCCTGGATCTTGCTTTACCAATTATACAGCACCAGTTACAATCACCGCTGTAACTGAATAATTAATTCTTCTTTTAAAGGGGAATTATTTTTACACTACTATGGTCCTGACTAGACATGCTTGATCAGAAATGTTGTATTTTGATACGGTTTGTAGATTACAATTTTGCCAGGTGCTTTCTAAGCTGGTAATACTTTTAATGTTGTAATATCATTTTATGAGGCACAGGTATCCATCTCAGAGAGCTACTCGCGGTGCCATTTCCACATGCAGATGGCAGCCTCTTTTTAATTAAAAAAAAAAATTATTTAAAAAAGAAACAAAAAGAGAGGTCATCAATCGATATCACCACTCTGTCACATTAGCGACTTTCTGATTACTGTACTTTTGTAATTGGAAATGAGAATGAACCATATGGAATACAGTCCCAGAGCATTATGAAGAGTACTATAATTAAAGATCATATTTCAAGTATATTTTACAAAAAATTAAAGGTGTTATACTCCAGAGTCCTAGGCATTTCGCACTACGTAGTTACCAGTCTCTGCTGTGCTCTGTGACTCTGAGTGGAATCCAAAATGACATTGAAAAATGTTTCGACTTAAATAAAATTCGACAGATCATTAATTAATGAAAAATACAACAATTTGGCATGTAAAATAAGATCGACTTGGAATTTATTCGAGTTAGGCAAGTTTTACTGTATTAAAAAATTTCAACCAAATGTAGATGATGATAAAAGCAGAGTTTATGTGTAAGGGAAAAAATATATAGGAACAAAATCTGTCTCTATATTTTAAATATTTTTTCTTTTCTTTCTTCAAAGTATGAGTTGGACTTGCCGATTGAGGTCAAAGAAGGTCGTGTAGGTAAGAATACACCTACGTGAAGTTTTGTTATTTTTTTTTTATTGTATAAGTTGATGATAAAGAATATTATAATGGTAATGATTATAATGCCAACTGTGTATGCACATAATGCCCCTGTCATAAGTATACCGTAATAAAAATTCATTGTTTTCATTCTTACAGGTAAGATTTCATTTGATATACCTTGGACTTCACTGTTCTCGTCACCTGTCATCGTTAAGATTGAGGATGTCCTCTTACTCGCAAACCCAGTAACAGCTAGGCCATACGATGAATTGAAAGAAAGGAGACTAGAAAATGCCGCAAAGAGAAAGAAATTGGAACAGCTTGAGAAGTCAAAAAAGAAACCATTGAGTAAGGAATCTTTGTATTGTGTTTTTTAGTTATACAACCCTACTGTTAAGCCACCGCCACCTATTGGTGTGCTTTTTGCTTATAGAGTCGTCCCTTCGAAGATTATGTTTGTGTAAATGAACATTGGAATTGTCATTAAAGGTCAGTTCAAATTAATTGGTTTGTTAACTAGAAACCATGAATATTTTCAACTATGTCTTTATAAAAGTCAACATACAAGTCAAACTATGCTGGATGTATTGCAGTGGCAGCGACAGAGAATCCCCAGTGAGGTGTCCCAGGTACCCAACAGGGGGTCAATTGCTCCGAGAAGAATGGTCTGACATCCCTAGACTAAGTTTCACACCCACCTCCAGTGACATAGGCAAATCCAGGTGCCCAGAAACGGAAATCTGTAAAAATGACTCTTCAAAGTATTGTTTCTCAGGTGAAATAACTCCTTGACATGGTGCAGAGCCCCTGTTTAAAATAAAATGAATTTCATGGTTTTGCTACTTTAATATTTAGAAAAATGATAAAACTTTAGGAGCATTATTTACAAATACAGTAATATCAAAAGAAATAGTCTAAAAGCCCAGGCACTTTCAGCTCTGACAGTGTAATAACTGTGTTCGAGATTTGTGGAGTAGAGTTTGTTGTAGTTGCGGAGGAAAAAAATGGGTGTCTTAGGATTTGAACCAAAAATCATGAAGTATAAGACAAGCTGCACCAACAAGCTACATCTCTACAACAACTTGTTTCTCTTTACATATCTATGCATTGAGTTAAATGATGTAGGGATTAGATATTTCCATTTAAAGTGGTATTCCTACTTGTTTATGACATCATTTACTGTAGGATCAGTCATCATTCATCATGACCTTTTAAAAACTTAATGAGGCATGTTGTGGCAAAATGGCTAAGTTGTAGCAAAAATTGAAATTCAAGTTATTGGTATTTTCAGATACCCGAGTATGTGATCTTTAAAATGAGGGGTCATTCATTCAAATTGGACATTTCAAGCCTAAGTTATTGGAAAGTGAAAGTACAGTACTCTTAGAGCAAGATAAACATGATTTTGAGTACTTGCCTTTCACAGTTATTTTTGCATACATTGTTTATTAGAATGAACTATCAAAATAGCGTTAAATAAACAATTTGTTGACCACTTCCAGAACTAATACTTTGGGACATGATTAAAAGACATTAAACTGTTGATCTATAGTGAAAAACAAATTTCAAATTTGGATTCTTATGCAATTTATTGAGCTCCAATATTTTATAACTCCTCTACTCTATACTGGACTGTGCGACAGCTTAACGATTTTGCCACAACATGCCTCAAATTTTCTAAGCTCACTGTCACACAGATTGCCACTGTGGTATGCAGCACTTAAATTTCTTCATTATGTAAATGAGCCCGGTGACTGGGGATTGTACTGCATCACATGCAAGTGCAATCCCACTTATTTATCATCAAATTTGTATATTTGTAAAATATAAATATGTTTATATAAAAAGACATAAAACATCTAAAATAGTAAAACATACAAACACAGGGTATTCATATTATTACAACAAGGTCCCAAAGGTGGTCAGTGATGATAAAATGAATAAGCCAATTCATAGTTAGAACCATGCATGCTTGTATCAATGGGCTCATTTGAATGGCTCATTTCGTTGACTACGATTTTTTGTTGAGTATTATTTTCATTCGACTTGTTCGTAAAATAGAATCTTTGTTGACAACGAAAATTAACGTAAACCAGAGTGCATTAATCGGCATTAAGTTATCCATGTAACTAAAGCAAACATGGCCGATTGGTCTGTCAGTTTAGCAACAAAATTTGCGTTAATATAATTTAGATTAAATTTCAGAAAATAAAAATTATAATATTTACCCACATGAAGTCAAAAATGATTGGAGGCTAACAGAATTCAAAAACTTTTTTTACGAAAAACCCATACTTCCACAAGCTGAAACAACCTTGATTACGCAGCGTATATTGTAGGAACTATGCAGCCATTTTGTTTTGTCGAGTATTTACCAGTTCTCTATTCGACTGGTCGTCTTTGCTAAGTATGATTTTATACTTGTGCAGGTGGGCGTAGCTTAAGAAAGAACGACCGGTCGAATACGGCCAGTGTCAGTCGACATAAACACAATACACACATTTTTTATTTGATTTATATTTATTTGGTTCCATAAAACATTACATAAAATAAGCTTGCATAAAAAATACAAAGTACACATTAATATTAACTAATTGAATAAAGATAACCAAATAAAGTTTTAACCAAAAGTAAAACTTATATCCATTTAGGTTGATAACAAGAAGTTAATTAAAACAAATACAATGGAACAATATAAAAATTCATAAAAATGGTGTGTTAAAATTATTTAACATAGGCTTATGTCGATCGACCTTGATTGATCTTGGATACGAGCATGCGCAGCTCCAACCGCGAATTGGCTTATTACAACAATAAAAACCTGAAGATAACAAAATTTAACACAATGACCTAAAGAGATATAAAATATTGACTTAATCTTTATCAGTATGTGTAAGTATCTGCTGTGTATATTTGTCGAACAAATATTTTAAAGTTAGTTTAAGGACTTGCATTTCCAATTTATCTCTTGTTTATTATTCAATTATGTTGTTTTTGCCAGCTTGAATGAGCTTCAGTTACCTTGTTTATTACTGTACATCCATTTTTCCCCCATTTTTATAAATGTCTCTTGATTTGATAACACTGATCTAAATGTTTTCACTGCTATTTATACTTTAAACACATCCTTTGTTTTTATTCTATTATTTTAAAACCATATATATCATCTCCTTGAATTACATGTGTTCACATGTTATTTGATCCATGTGTTTTTCCTTTTTCACATCCTGTTTTTTTTTCTGAATGTTATTTTATTATATATAATAATATATTTAATAATAAAAATAATAATAATAATATTTTATTATAGATATGATAATCTTCCACTGCATTTAAATTGTAGAGAATGTATGATCATTCATTCATAACCAAGCAATTTACAGTAAAGTTTTACCCTTATTTGTATATCTAAAAAATTCTTACTATAATTTAGTAAGTAAACTGAATGAAACACACTGAGCTGCACAAAAGCCTGTACTTAGTAGTCGTGTGAAATTACTGGAACGTCGATTATTTATTTATTTTATTTATTTATTTATTTTCTTTTTCTACGCTGATAAGGATTTTGTTTTATACTATATTTATATTTTAATTATATATTGTGTAGAAAACCTTTTAGTGGTAGTGTTCATCGCTGTTGGTTTTTGCATAAATAAAATAAAGAAAAAATTAATATTTTTCACAGGTGAGGAAGATGAGCAAGAGTCTCAATCATTTACTGAGAAATTGATGTCATCAATTATCAATAATGTTCAGGTAAGTGCAGATCATATTGTGTGCTGCATTACTATATTTTTAATACCAAGTATCTGTAAGCCCATGCTCCTACCATCTAATTTAGGCTTGATTTCAGATGCTAGCGTTCATCTGGGTGAACCAAGGGGATACCTCCTACTATGCCTAAATCATCAGAAGTTATAATAATAATAATAATAATATAGTAATATTGCTCCTTAGTTTCTAGAATATAGTATTTGCAATGGCTGATATTGGAATTATATTTGGAAAAATATAATAACCCTGTTTTATCTTTACATATTACAAAATTAAAACACAATTCTGTTAAAAATGTATTGTCCCCTGAAAATAACAACAAATCACTAAAAATAATGTTGATATTAAAAATCTCTACCCTTATTTTTCTACTGGATGATGATAAAAAATAATAAAAGCATTTCTAATGACGATTTATTTTTTTTTTTTTCAATTTTTGCTGTAAAATGAATGGTAAACATTTTTTAAACACACTAATTTCTATGTTAAAATATTTTTTATGACATTTTTTGGTATTTTACATGCGACAATACATCTTTAATACTATGTCATCGTATTTCATATTTTTGAAAAAATGTTAATATCATTACATTGGTCAGACATATTGTTTATAGAACATCTTTCAATAATAAGATTACAAGCTAAATTTACACAAAACCTCAGACTGAGCTACTCTTAATAGTTGTACAGTAAATCACATGAGAGTGATAGATGTTTATGCAATCATTCAGTTAATATTATTATAGCTCATTTGTTTATCTTGCCAATACTCTAGTTTACATTCACAGTTTTTTCTGAAGCACTGTGTATAATTAACTCACAACTATTTTCTTGATTATTTTATTCTTAATAATATCACTGCTGTTCTTTGTTTTACTTATTCTTACCTTGAATATTTGTTAAGATTTAATTTCTTTGACAATATTCTAATAAATAACCTAACTTCGGATTTTGCCAGAGCAGTCAATCCATAGTGCATACCTCTGTCCTGTGCCTGAATACAGTACCAACAATACGCAGACAGTGTGCAAAACTGCAGCATACCCTCAAGAAAATAATGGAATTGTTTTCTTGAGTGCTGCCTGAATGTGAGGACTGATTCCATTATTGTCTTTTATGCTCGAATGTCAAAAAAAAAAAATGAATTTCCGTAACCTTGACCATGTCCTTTGACCTTTTCTTCTTAAAATTGAAAAGTGTCTTTCTTTAATTATTATCTATTATTTCACTAAATTTTATGATGCCCCATTCATTTGCTTTTGCCTAATCTTGCTGATAGGCAGACAGAAAGTCGGCAGTGAATACATAACCTCCTTGGCGGAGGTAGTAGACTATAACAATTTTAAGGAATAATATCACAATAGTCTAAAATATATTGAATATTAATAAGAAATGAAAATCTAATAATATACTGTATTGGGTATCACTTACCCTCTAATAATGACGTTAGTCATTGTAAATAAAACACATCATTTTTAATCTTTAATTTAAGTAAATGTCATGGCACATATTAAATGATACCCCATATCATTACTGTTCTATTATTTTTTTTTCTGTCGTTATTGATATCCAATGCACTAATGGACAAAATATTGAAAATCAATGTCCTAAGGACATTGACCTTTACCTGATGAGATACACAGATCACATACATGAAAGGACTCTAGCATTTTGTTATTTTTTCCGATTGATTTGCATATTCGGTGGCAGGCAGACTTTAATAGGTAATAAATTATCCATAAAGCAAGCTGACATGTAATAAATATCTTTCGAACTGATACTTTGAGGTAGAATAATAATATTGATAGTGGTAGTGAAGTTGAAGATAATTGTGGTGGTGGTAGAAATGATAATAATGTTGATAGAAATGAGAATAATGATGATGAGAGTGATGATAATGGTGACGATGAAAATGAAGTCAATGATTTTGATGTTTGATTTTTGTGATGAGGGCAAGGGCGCTATTTAGGACAGCTACTTTACCGTGACGGCTTGGCTACTCAGCTCGGCCTAGCCTAGTTGGGCCTGGTCTACCATTAGCAAATTCTTTATATTCTTCGAATCTATCAAATGTTGCATTTAAACTAAAACATATTTACATTTGATAAACAACCTTTATTGATTGAATTTACGTTCTTTTCATACCAACATTCAGTGGCTGGAAAATGAACGGTGCTATAGTTGTCCACAGTGCATGCACATGGCTCTGCAAATACAGTACTTGAGAATCGGTTCTCAGAGATATCTTTCTTGTTCTTAACTCCCTGGTTATGATTAATTCATAAAATACCGTAAAGCAGATTTGTTGTTAACTTCAGAAGTGAAATTTTAATAGTCAACAGAATACAGTTGGCCTTAGGCCTATACAGCTCTCGATTTGGAGGAACTACAGTAGAATTGACACATAGACTAGGGCGAGAGATGAAGATGTATCTGCATAGCCTAGAAAAATAATGTGAGTAAAAACCGTAGATGTGGGCAGCCTATGCTTATTGCTGAAATATATTTGTGATAGCTAATTCAACACTTTTCCTTTGAAGGCAAAATTCGAACAATTTAAACACCTTCAATTGCACTCTCAAGGTCATAATTTTCTATTTTTTTCTTGGGTAGGGAGGGGAACACCCCTTCCAAAACCTGCCCCATGGCTGTCGCCACGCGACAAGTTCTTCATCTTGAATTTTGGACGGAATCTTCGTTTTTCTGGCTAAACCCCTGGATGGGGGTAATGGGAAGATGAGGATGACCATCATCATGATCATGATCCATAAGTATAGTGGCATGCCACCTTATACACCTCCACACCTATGTCACAAGGTGATCTTCTCCCCCATCAGTTCAATGTCAACACTCCTAGATAATGAGGAGGATGATATCATGTTGATCATGATGGGGAGGAGGTTGATGGTGATGCTGAAACTGAGAAGATTATGAGGATGATATTGGTGATTGTGATGACGATGAGGACGCTGGTGGTGGTGGTGGACATGTTGATGTAATGAAATATTATGATCTCGCATTTAATTTGTCACTTGTAATTTGTGAATAAACTGAGTGTTAAATTAGAATGAAATACATGAATAAGCAAATTTGGATTTTTATACAAAGAAAAACATAGAAAAAAATATCAAAAATATTTGGTACTATTCCATTGTTGATAATATCGAAAAAAAAATACTTTTCATTTTTTCAAACTCTTCCTATGATGAAAATATTTACATTGATTACAAACTCATCACAACTATTAATTGGATTTGTGGATTTTGATTTAAACTCATATGTCAATTTAAATTTCATGTTCATTTTTTCAAGAATCATTACAACCATACCAGATTGAACTTTAGTATCTAATTAAAAACACTCGCAAACACCTGGCTTAATCCGCCATCCACTGCAACTACACACTATAAAAGTAAATGACATTTGCAATGTGATTATTTTGCAGCAAAATTATTACAGACATTCTCACATACTACACACATAAGCTCTCCCACAGTTTAGGGCCTCCATTAATAGAGCCATATCATGTGTAGTTTTGTTAGTACAAGCCTATAATATATTTTTTAGTATGATCTTTGGCCTGTTATGTTATTTCTGGTTTTGTTTATCTTTTATTACACTCAGACTCTATAACAATATTTTGAAAAGCTGTACATTAACATATTTTAATGATTGAAACAATTATATAACACAGTAGACTAATATATATTATATTATTAGAAGAGATAGGGAAAGAAATTGCAGGATTCAATATTAACAAAATGGGGCTGGAGTTCTTGATCTTAGTCAAGGAGGTGCCAAATAGAGAGGGGTAGGGTCGGTTTTAGTGGGGTGGGGGGAAGGGGTGTTCGGTTAAGTACCTCCACACCTGGTCTAGATCACCACTATTCCAGATTCTTGGAATTTAAAATTTTTTTATTTATCTAATAATATTGATTCAAATTATAAATCACACTATTATCAATCATAAACATGACATGTGGACATGTAGAAGCGGCTTGGTGCAGCGTGAAAGGTTTGGTTTCCCAACCTCGAGGTCGGGATTTCAATCCCTCGCTGTGCATTTCGCTTGTATCCTTGAGCAAGGCACTTTATCTGCATTGCTTCTCTCCACCCAGGAGTATAAATGGGTACCTGGTGGGGTTGCTTGCTCCTGTGCTGAATACAACAGAAACACTCAAGCATGTGGATCCAATTTCCAAGAGTGGGATGATTGAAATGTTGTATTAAAACTGAAGATCATATTGTATAATTTTATTTTACTATTATTTTTATGTTATTTCAATTCCACATCAACAGCAAGTACGAACCCACCACTTACAGGATAGATAAAACAAAGACGGATACAAACAACAATTACCCTAGCCTAATATCAAAATCACAATGAAAAATTTTCTTTTTAAATTGAGTAAAGGAATCAAAGAAAATATTAATACTCTTATTTATATTAATATATTTATTTATTTATTTATTTATTTATTGACATTTCACCTTTAGAACGGTGGCACACAAATTGTGTGGTGCAGTCTGGTAATAATAACAACTAAAATACAAAAGTAAACAACCTAATACAAAATCAAATCATATAAAGAAAAGCACAACAAATTAACCAGGAATGTAAATAAAGCCAATAGCTTAACTTAAAAAGTTTTAACTATAGGCTTAAATTTTGAAAATGTAAACTAAATGTACACTATCATAAAGTTAAAATGAAATAAAATAAAAACAGGAATTACAAAAATTAAGTAAAAATAAGAAAAAGCACCAGAATCATAAACATATGTGTGTATAAATACATACACATACATATTACACACACACATATATAATATTGAAGGAAGTTAGCCGTAAACACTGTTGAATAAATATAATATAAATCATCAAAGGTACATATACAGGGTAGCCTACAATGTTCCATCATGTCCTTATTAAACACTGTATATGTACCTTTGATGATTTATATCATATATATATATGTATGTATATATATATATATATATATATACATACATATATACATGTACATACATGTATTTGAAAAATCTATAAATAAATCCTTTTTTAACATTATCGACTCTACCAAAAGGGACAGGAAATAAATTAGCTTGTCTCAGACTATGTTTAGGAACACATACTAAAAGCGATGGTAAGGGCGCAATCAAAATGATGGTTAACCGCTTTATAAAGAAACTTAGGATAATTTATATTTCTACAACGAATTGGGGAAAGTAATTATATTTATAATTAATAATTATATAATTAATGCAGTTTTGACTTATTGACATTTTCCTTGTTTATATTAAGGTCTTCATGAAAAATGTTCATGTTCGATATGAAGATTCTGTTACAAATCCAGGCCATCCATTTAGCTTTGGGGTAATGTTGCCGTACATATCTGCAGAGGTGAGTTTTGAATTTCACATTTCAAAATTATTTTGATAACTCTTATTATTATTCATATTATGAATAAAGTATTCTAATTTTCATGCAAAAGTTCATCTGTCGCATTTCCAACACAAAATTTACTTGCTATAGAAATTTCAGTTGACATTTAACCTTCAGAAAGGCGTTGTAAAACTATAAAGAGTTTATCTAGACACTTGGTATTTTGTGGAATATCATGGTGTAATACCTGTAAGCTTTCTATGGCAGCCATGGGGCCAGGTGCTTAGGATACCTGGGATATTTATTCAGCATTTTCTTTCCAACACCATGGGCCGCCAATAAGGTGAACAGGTCCCTCAATGACCTAATTGTGTTGAAAAGAACATCAGAATTTGCCAGATTGGGTCTCTGTCCCTTATCCCTGGAGCCAGGCTCTATCCCTGGAGCCAGGTATACAGTATATAAACCCTTTCAAAGTAGGCCTATCTGGGTTCCCTGTCTTGTCATAACCTCCTAATTTGGAGAATAAAATCATAACACCTGAAAAGATTATTGCCTGTCTTTTTTCTATATTAAATATTTGTGGTACACCACGTAGATAGTTCTGAAAAGAACTGTTGTTTTGTTGATAATGTATAGGTGTAATTTTGCCCTACCTGAGGTGGAAATGTCCTGAATACTCAGTACGTTTGAAAACAAGTGCGAAAAAAATCGCAAGTTGTTTTTAGGTGGGATTCGAACCCACGATCTCCAGATCACTAGCCTGGCATCATACCTCTAGACCACCAAGCTTGCGCCCTTGGCCAGGGTTGAATTCGAGTCCAAGTAAGCAGCGGGTACTGCAGAGTTGATAGTAATTGTCATTGTCGTGATGGAATAGACAATAATGTTGTTTAGACAACAATTGTTGATAATGTCTCAACATTTCGATTGAGTTGCTTCAATCGTGATCAGGAGAATAATTTCTGCAAACAGGGAAGTACTTGGATGTTTGGAAAGTTTTTTTTTCTATCATTTAAGTTATTAATATACAGATTATCAAGTGTACAGTACAATTAAGGTTAGTTTACTTCCTATTGCTGTAAATATTACCTTATGAATTTCTTATTCCAATTATGTCGCTATTTATATCTACACGTTCTAACATACTATTAAGAGACCCTGTTCAATTTATAATCTTGTTATGAATGTATAATCATATTAGTACTGGATGTGTATCGCTGTTACTGTTCTCTTTATCTTTCACTGCAAATCAATTACAACACTGCTCAATAAAAATCTTTATCAATTAGTTAGGTTCATAGCAGGTCATAACATTTCTACAAGCTATTATTTTTATGTATAGGTAATTACTTATCTCATTTAGATGTATTCTTTCTCATCTTTAAGGTACAGTATATATTTTGTACTGAATAATTATTAAATTTAGGCTTGGATAATAATAATAATAATAATAATAATAATAATAATAATAATAATAATATTGATAACTAAATTAGGATTTGTATGGTGCAAATTACAAAACCACTAGGGTACAAAAAGTTCAAAAATATAACTAAGCGTGATTGGCCATTGACTCCGAGGAGCTCATTTGCCCTTTGTTCAGTTATTTTATTTGTTGCTTTATACATGACTCATGCTTTTAATAAATTCGGCAGAGATATACTTTGTTGTTATTTTCGAAAACAAAGATAGTGGGATTTCCAGTAAGCGGCTCAACTGATGTAGGCTGTTTTCTTTGAAGCAGCTAATTTGTTTACCAATTTGCAATAATATCTAGGAAATTATGTTCAAACACTACTAGTCAAGGCAGATTAGAATAGCTTACACTTTTGTTAAGGGGCATTATCATTAATAGTGTTTACAATGCATGAATGCCTGATAATATGCTAATTTATAAAGATTAAACACAACCTCTATTCCTTTGGCCATATACCGTAGGAATCCTCCATGCATTGATTAGTGAATTAAGTTTGAGCCATTACTTATTCTTATATCTGAATATTTAAATCTCTTCAACCATTCTAAATAAAGAAGTAAAGTATTACCTCATATAAATGGTATCTTAATATTCAAAAATCAATTATGCACATATTAAACAGGCAATAACAGTAAATTACTGAATTGGAACATGTTTTATAAGCATGTATAAAATATATAATTCATTTATTTTATTAATATATTTATTTGGTATAAAATACTCAGAATGAAACAAAGGTTAATATATGTTTGAGTTTATAATACCATCAAATATAAAAATATATAAAACAAAACATCAAACACCACATCAATAAGCACCAAACTTTAGGCCTATCTATTATATCATACAAGTAATTTTGATTCTAAAATTGATCTCTGTATACATGATATGATAAATTGATAAAATGACATTGAAACAGTTAGAATGTTAAGCACATTAAAAAAAATTACCTCAAAAGGAATCATGACTAATATTTTTAAAAAAAGATACAGATCAAGTAGACAGAAATTCATCAAAATACAAGTAAAAAAAAGAAATAAAATAAAATGTAAATATATTTTGTGTCCAAGTACAATATATATTATGAATATAAAAGTAGTAGGTCATAGTTTAATGTTTATGATTTTGATTTTTTTTTTCATTAGACAACAGATGAACTCTGGCAAGCGACACAGGTTGACGCATCTGCAATGATCATGCGAAAGGTGTGTTACCAGGGATTGTTTATATCACTGTTGAACATGCTGATGCTATGTTGCTGTTTTTGTTTATGTTCATTGTTTACATTTTGTTGTATTATTGATGATACTTCCTTGTTGATGGGAGTGCTATGATGTTGTTACTACACTTATATATTTGTTGATTAAGTTGTCATTGCAGCTGCGATTTATTTTTAAACTGTTGCCACTGCTTTAAAAGTATACTGCACACTGAATTTATCATGTATCCTTATAGAAGACAAAAAACCTCTTTTCAGTGGTGAAAGCATAAGATACCATAAAATAGATTATTCAGAGGAAAGAAAGATTGTGGGAATTTATTCAGGCCCCATTTTATTTGTACATTGCCACAGAACAGGAAAAAAATACAAAATGGTATCACTAAATGATATAATATTTGTGACATGTGTTAAACATGAATCATACCATTATTGTATACTTATTTATCTCTGTAATTATATTTTAAAGCTTTACATGCAAAAAGAATGTCATTCCTTGCATCTTGTGTTCATATTTTTACATGTTGTTGTACATTCATTTTTACCGTTGTAATCACACATGTATTAATATGAATGCAACTTTTCTAAATATCAAACTTTAAATTGAGAAAATTGAGAAATGCAGAATGCTGAGAAAGGTGCATCTGAGTACAATTCAGTGGTGAAAGCACAAGATACCGTAAAATATATTATTCAGAGGAAAGAAAGATTGTGGGAATTTATTCAGGCCCCATTTTATCTGTACATTGCCACAGAACAGGAAAAAAATACAAAATGGTATCACTAAATGATATAATTTTTGTGACAACATATGTTAAACATGAATCATACCATTATTGTATACTTATTTATCTCTGTAATTATATTAAAGTTTATATAAATGAAATTGGTTCCCACTCCAACAAAAATTATGGATCTGCTCCTGCATAACAAAATATATATTTTTTTAATTTCATAATTCATGAAAGAAATATCACTGGGGCATAACAATAGGAATGTATCATATTCATTTTAATACTGATCATCAAATCAACATTAACTCTCTTTACAGCTTGCTCAAGTCAGAAATTTGAGTATATACATGAACTCGGATTGCAAGCAGTTATTAACGGAGCAGCATATTGATGATGGGCTGTGGATAGGCTTAATGAAGGAGGCCCTCGTGGATAACAAGATTATGAATGAGCCATTACAATTCAGTGAGTACTGTCGTTTTAGACAATTCTTGATTTTCTGTATGTAGATTTTGTAATTTAATTTTATGTTTATTTCCCATCTTATGCCAAAATACTTTGAAATAACGTAGATATTTCAAAATTTAAAATCTATAAAGTGCAATCTGAAAGATAATCTAAAGTAAAAGTCTCAAATCTGTGTTGAAGAGAATTTAGAATTCTGACCAAGTGTGATCTTAATCGAGGAAAATTTAAAAAATTGGTAAAATATTAGATCTCAAAACGTATGTTTGAAGTTTGCTCTTTTAAAAAAGCAAGTATAGTCTATTGTATTACACATATGGGTATTCTATAAAAAAGCAACACTATAAATTGAAAAAAAAGGAGATTTATTGCCAAAGCTTTTGCTTTTAAAGGGTAACATAAAAACATGCTATATTTAGCCTGTTTGCTTAAATGATGTTGTCAAAGAAAAACAACTCAGTATGCTTAAACATCACTTCAGTAATTGAAAAAGGATCATTTTGTTGACATACTGTGATTAAGTAAGACTTTTTTATACCTTGTTTATGTGAAATCATGTTCTAAAGATTGTCAGATGAGCTTGGAAAAAAAAAGTAAAATTTTTTTTTCTTGTTAAGTAAATGGTTTTGCAAAAATCATCAAGGCAGAGGAGAAAATATTAATATATATTATTCCGTTGGTGAATGTAAACAGTGTAGTAATTAATCAATGAATTTGAAGAAATTACACAAATTATTAGTCAGTTTATCCAGTTAAGTGTTCACCAAGTAGACATGGATATTTTGTTTTAGGAGTTTTCAAGGCAGCAGTGGGCAATATAAAAATAAATAAAAAATGTATTTTTTTTTCCTATAGATTCTCATTTTTTCTTGGTGGAGGGTGCACCAACTGGCCAAAAAATAAATTATATTAGTATATTTAAATTATAAAGTATATTTATTCGAAATCATCATTGAGGGCGAGTGGAGGGTTTGCTAAAAAGGTATAAACAAATGTAAAGTAAAGTATAATCTGGAGACGAAAGTATATTCTCATTGTTGCCTTTGATTTCTAATTTTAAAAATTTTTACCCCCTTTTATTACTATAGTCCTTGAGCCTGTGACAACCAAAGCAAGAGTAACATATGATAAAGCATCTGACAGCTTGTATATGCGCCCTCGCTTGGTCGTTGACATCAACACAGAGGAGATAATGTTAGGCCTAGGCAGGTCTCAATACCTTGATGTCCTGGACCTCTTAGAAGCTCTACAGCTAATGAAAGTCAACACAGTGTATCGTAAATATCAGCCGACGGTGCCGGTGAAAATTGATCCTAAAGCATGGTAATTTATGTTTGTAATAATAAATAAATGTATTTGTGTTCTATCTGCCTTGTGATATAAAGTTATCCTTCATTCCCATAGTCCTAGTTTTAAGTCCAGGGTTACCAAGTTTCTCACAACTCACAGCAGGCCTCCCTACAATAGCGATGGCCTCCAACTCTATGCCTGCAATTCATAATAATTGCATATTTTCACTGTTTTATTATCAATTGTCTCACAGAAATCACTTCCAATGTGGTATCACTGTGTGTAGAAAAATGTAATTAGATGTGATTAAAAAATGATAATTTGACAAGATCTCCTGAAAGTGACTTCTTCCATCTTGAAGAAGACCCAATGTAATTGGATGATTAACGCACTTAAATATACTGTAGAGAGAAGCCATGCTGAAATGGTAGTCCTCTAAATGATATCAGTTAATTAACTAAAACACTTGCTTAGACTATAATTTAATATCAAACCCTTGAACCTACATGTATATTTGGATTTATATGATAAAAAAACAAGCATGATTTTTTTTAGAGTAATTATTATATTTGAATAATTATGGTAGAATGGTAGATGAATAACCTTAGCCTTCAATTAGGGAATGCCTCCATTAAATGATAAATAATGCAGCCCAGATCATGAATTAATGAACAAGCAAAGAAGATAATGCACTTCCCTTTTTTCTTGAATCTTGTTAGCACTGTAGTAATCCAGGTATTATCCAAGCAAATATAATCCAAGTATAATAATCCTCAATATAATTAGTTGGCAAGTTAGTAACAAATAATGTTAGACTTGCAAGAAAATCAGACACTTACTTCAGCAACTGAACTGCAACTGATTACAACAAATAACAGCTGCACACCTGTACACAACTAAATGCAAATAAGTATGCAAATGAATTAAATATCTAAATAACAAATTTAATTGAGAACTTCTAGAAACTAGAATTTAAAGCAATAAAAAAAACTGCAAATACACTTAATCCTATGCCAATTCTGTCAAGATTTGGCTGATGTTATTGCATTTTTATTGTTGTAATTTTTATTCATGTGTTTGTCTTGAAATGTCTTTTTTAACTTTTATATTTAAAATTATATATAATAGTTTTATTATTATTATTATTATTATTATTATTATTATTATTACAAAAATAATGTATTGTATATTTTTATGAAATGTTAATGTTTATATTTACTGTTTTGCTTTTTTAATTGTGTTTATTAAATTTGGCGACTCACTCAACAGAGATCTAGTGTCTTTTTGGGAAGCCACCCTCCTTTTTGTCTGTTCGTTTTTGTCTGTCTGTTTTTTTGTATTTTTGATGAGGCAAATAAATGAAATGAAATGAAAAATTTATGGGGGACAATTTAATGAAAATTAAGAATATTTTACAGCCTGGATTTTATTTTAATCAAGAATACTGCTTGATAATATTCTTAAAATTGTCTACTTTCCAGCAGGTCCACTCAATTAGTTTTACACATCAGTTAATGTCATGCTGTTTTGTCCCCAATTTATTTTAATAAGGAGACCTAGTGTCTTATCCCATGCATGGTCTTAACCTTGGTTTCTTATATAATGATCTTCTTCTATAATTGGTTTTTTTTAATAGACTTTCTTGCTTATGTCCTGTGATAATATTAATAAATCTTTAATAGATATTCTTACCAAAAAGCAACAGCTCTATGTTAGAACATTCACACACTTTTCAATTCAATTCAATTTATATTGCTGTGTGAGCCATCAAGGGCTATCATCCCCCAGTGCAATACAAATACAAAAGACAAATAATTAATAATGTATTTCTAAAGGAACTATTCATTTAGGGATAGTGGCATTAATCCCCTTACTTTTAACTTTTATTTGTCATTTGAAGGTGGATATATGCATACAAGAGCATGGTGGATAAATACATCAAGCCCTGGTCCTGGGAACACATGAAACAACATCGGCAGTATTACAGAGCGTACAAAAATAAATACAAAGAGAAGTTGGAGAAAGCAAAAGCTGATGATAATGTGAAGAAAAGAATTGAGAAAGACCTGTTGAAACTTGAGGAAAAACTTGATGTTACAAGCATCACAATTGCAAGAGAGCAAGCCAAGATTGAGGTATATAAATGCACCTCCTTCTACGTCGAGGAGGTTTTAATATGACGCATATTTGTGTTTATCTAAAAAATAATACTGTATACAATTAAGGATTTAATGCTTAAAATTGTTATATTTAGTATATTTTTTTTTTACACTATTGGTTATTTGTGTTTATCTAAAAAAATAATACTGTATGCAATTAAGGATTTAATGCTTAAAATTTTTATATTTAGTATTTTTTTTTTTTACACTATTGGTTATTTGTGTTTATCTAAAAAATAATACTGTATGCAATTAAGGATTTATATTTAGTATTTTTTTTTTATTTTTAATGCTTGCAATTCTGTAAATATATATTGTGATATGTGTTTTGGTAATTGACACAATAAAAATAGAACATTAGTGGGTTCCTGCAGTTTGCCAGTTTTGTAATTATTGGCTATTGTACATGTCACAAAATTCTTAGAATTTGATAAAGAATCTTGAAACCTTGATTTTCCTTTCTCCAAATTTCTAGTGCATTATCACTCCCTCCCTGAAATTTTATAAAATTATCTAATTTTCAAAGGCGCTTAGGCCTCCGGGAGAAAATTACCCTTTTGACTGCCAGCCAGGGCTCTGCCTTAAAACCTATTCCGAGTACTTGCCAGCCTCTATATGAGAAATATTTTAAACAATTTAAATCTATCAGCTCTGGTTCAGGAATATGTTTAAGTCTGTGTTTAACTGAAAATGTTGATCATTTTTCAGTTAGATAATAAGTTAAGTAATATATTTAGTTACCAAAAAAAAAAATATTTTTTTGTATGCAGTATGCAAAGCAGGCTCCAATCAGGAGAGAAAAGGAGTTGAAGAAAGAAGCAGAGAAGAGCTGGTTCAGTGGCTTCTGGGGTTGGTTTGGTGGAGACGATGATTACGAAGAGGAAGTTGTCCATGGTATTGCCATTGTTATATTTTATGTTGGAAAATTGCTTCACATTCAATTTCCTATTAAAAGCTAATAATGTATTTCGTAAATACTTACTGGATCATATATGAACTGATGTATCAGTAACACGTGACATTAAACTTTGTACGTTGATACCCATATCAGTTATAAAAACCATACTGGCGGCACCAGCAGGGGTTAAGAGGGGAAATTTCCCCCTGTTGGACAAGCCTGGATCCCCTGTTGTAGACGACCCAACAAATTTGTCGGACCATAAATATTAAATTACCTATCCAAATAACGTTATTTTGATTGCAAATCTCTAATATTGTGGTCTAAAATCACAATTTTAAGCCATACTAAACCCCTTGGTTTGGACACATTTCTGGAGTCGCCATTGCCTACTCTATGCAATTCACATGTTTAATTATTACGTAGTCATACTTTAGATAAAAGATGTGGATATAATCTTAATCTTTCAGATGATACATTATGGGAAAGGTTAACAGAAGAAGATAAACATAAAATATATGAAGGAATCGGCTACAAAGAGGGCGCTAGTGTATCCACAGACAAACCAGTTGAGGTACGTCCATAAGAGTGTGTGCACAGCGTGTAAGGCATCGAACTTTCAATTAAAAGGTCAGAGGTTCAAGACAAATGCTTGTCACATTGCTTGCATCCCTGGGAAAAACACTTTATCTGCATTTGCCTCACTTCACCCAGGGGTATAATTGGGTACCTGGTAGGAGGGGAATGAATTTAGTAATGCCATTACTTCCCAGGGAGCGGAGTAGGTTGCATATTGTGTATGATAGATTCTGTATACAATAACCAGGGAAAAAAAGCTCCTTCAGCAGTTTTCTGAATAATAACTGCTATATAAATCCTATAAAATAAATTTTTTAAAAAGACTAATTTTCTTAATGTATGATATATTTTCTGCAAATTAAAAATGTATAGATAAATAAAGTATATTTGTGTGTATATATATATATTTTTTTCAGTATGTTCAAACCAAGGTAACCTTTGCTGTTAATCATGGTCAGTTTGGACTTAGAAACAAATCTTTACGAGTGATCAAAGCATCAGTTGTTGATACTGTTGTAGACATCGAGCATCGGCCTGCTAATAATGGAATACAGTGAGTCTTGATTAATGCATAGCAGAGATAAGCTCCTAGCAATCAATGCCCAACCATGCTTGGTTGAAGAAATATGACTACTTTTCTAGTGGCTAGATTAAGAATTGTGTATAATGGACCTTTCCAAAATGTCAATCAAACAAACAAATGACCAATCAGAACACGGCTGACATTAGCAACAGTATTTAAGGAGTGGGGCTTAGCGTACTTGTCCCTTGAGCTTAGTTAAACATCTTTATTAATAAAGTAGAAATGTTTTGTGCTAAATTTCGATGCAACATTTTGCATTAAAATTAATCAAAAAGTTTTCTTGTTGGGATTATAACAAAGTTGGCTTTTATATTTATACTTGATGTGGTAAATGCCTTATTGCTTAATGGCTAAATTGAGATTTATTACATTGTAAACTTTTGAAGAGACGGATCCTTGTCGTATCACAATCCGGGTTCATGCTATAAAATACAATACCCAACCAGAGAATCGAATTCCTTATTATTCTAATTTTAATAGAAATGAATACTCTTATTTAATTTATTTTACATCCAAAATTGTAGATTAATTTCCTCAAGCTTCTAATATGTTCAACCAAGGAATCATGATAACAACTCAATGCGGCCATATAGGGATATTATGTCCTGTGAATAAGACATTAAGCCGTTACTTTTTTGTACATATGATACACCATACATCATTCAAATTAGCTGAGTATTATATTTGGAGCTCCTTATCTCTTTCAATTATCTTCCAGCTTCCAGCTGAGTACAGATTCTTTACTAGTTGAAGGTAGTCCTAAGAAAGAGGAAAATGTAACCATAGTAACATCAGCTAGGGATAAGCCGGATGACGTCGCCGGTCAAGTTTTTAACGTTGACCTGGAGACAAGCCCGGTAAATGTATCAGCTGACCTTTCTCTCGCAGTAACATCTGAACCTGTGGATATTGTTTATCATGAGGTATACATCAGTTTCTTTTTTCTAGGAATTTTTTATTTGTAGTTACATCGTAAAAGCTTTTTTATTTTAAAAAAGTATTTAAATCTTGTCATTGGTTAAAAGTTTCCCATACGAATGAAATAGACGAGCGGTACTGGGAAAAGACAACTTGGTTTCTTGCTTCAAACAAGGTATCCATTCATAGAGTGTTCGATGTCGAATATATGAAACATGTAGGCTGCCGGCACCTTGACCTCTGACGATTAGTGCCAATAAATTTTCAGAAAAACGTAATGCAATAATGACAAAATTATTATTATTGTTTATTTTCGGTAAATATTTCAGCCGCTCCAAAATTCTTTCCTATTCTTCTTTCTTCCTATGCTTCTTCCATATTTTCATTAAATTGAATATAAAATTCACTACAAACACGTAAAATATAATGAGTGTTATTTCAATACAAAATTACATACCGTATTTTAACTAGAACTAGGCTTATGTATAAATTGTGTCTGTATTTAACATATTTCAATCTTTGTCAATCTAAAGTTGAAGGTATGTCCTGATCCCCGATCCTTTTATGTTCACTTGGATAGGCTTATCTTCATAAGACTTCTATGAATGGATACCTTGTTTGAAGCAAGAACCCAAGTTGTCTTTTCCCAGTTTCGCTCGTCTATTTTATTCGTGTGGAAAACTTTTAACCAATGTTTTGTTTTTTTTTTGACATAGCTTAGCAATAAATTTAACAAATTTGTTTATTTTCTTATTTCAGAAAACAATATCTGAGCTAATCACTTTCTTTACTGTCCCAAACTTGAACATGGAAAACTTAAAAGCAGTGGCATCAACACAATTGATGAAATTTGCTGAATATAGCACAGCAGGGCTGAAGTATGCGATTGAAAATCATAAGGTATTGCTTGTTTTTTTGGCCGATGTCATACAACCATCATGCAACACAGCTTAATATTCTTCCATTTATTTTTTGTTCTATTATTAGTAGTTACAAAACAGATTTTGAAATGTTACCAACAGACTCTCTCTCTCAATTTAGTGATGCCACTCATATATATTTCATTATTTTACCTTCTTAGACCATTCAACTTGACGTAGATGTGAAGTCACCAAACATCTTGATACCTGAGTTTGGCTCAATTGACAAAGGAGGGCACTTGATTGTCATTGACTTAGGTAGTCTAAGAGTGTTCAGTGATTTACAGAATGAAACTGTTTCATTGGAGGTAAGTAGTTAAAATTATTTTAACAAGTAACCTAATTAAAGCAAATTAAAATTAAATTAAAAGATATTTGTACTTATAAAATAACACATACTCTAGTTTAAGACTTAGGAAGGAGACTAATTAGGCAAGACTTTTTTTAAACCTTGTTTCATAAACTTATTTCTTTTTTTAGGATAGTCAGAGGAGGGTGTAATTATTTGTCAAAAATATCTAGATGGAGGAGAAAATCGTATACAATGTAGCAATGGGATAGTTAAATGCTTTAACTTTGTATAATTAGGAAGAAATGTACATATCTTGCTTTTGGAAATTTTAAGGAAGCGGTGGGCATAATAAAAATAAAGGAAAACTTATTTATTTCTGGAATTTTCATTTTTTCGTGGCGACGGGTGCACCAATTGGCCAAAAATAAAATTTTATTTTTATTTGAAATCATCGTTATTGGTGGGCGGTGGGTTCGCTAAAAAAAGTATAATAAAGTCTTGCCTTAGTATAAACATATTTTAACATATTTTAAATTCCAAGTGTAATTAAACTTTTCTAGGGTGCTACCAGGACTGAAATTGAGGAACATCTTTATGACAAGTTTAATGTCCACATCAATGATATACAGATCTTATTAGCTCACTCAGGTATGTGCTGCCCTCATCCTCCACTACCTCATACCTATACTACACAATAACTCAACATTTGCCCAATTATTGTTTCAATTATCAAATTTACTGTCTTAAATTATATCAATTTATGTCCTGTAATGTTACAATTGTAGTCTAAACATTTTTACAGGTGATAACTGGCATGAAAGTCTAGAGCTTCGTGATTCAGAACGCCATCTGTTGCCAAGTTTCGGCCTACAACTTAGTTTATTCAACAGTGTACAGCCTGAATACAAAGAATTACCACAGTAAGAACCACTTTCATATTAGAAATATATGAACTAATAGTCTATGGAACAGTGTAAATAATATATGAATATAATATATCTATATTATATTTCCACTACTGTGGCTTACATTAGTAGGAGCCATGGTAAAGCTGGTGTTTTTGAAGATTTGTTAGTCTATGTGCTGTCATCATTCTGGGTTATGTGGTTTTATATTTAGAAAGAGAACAGCATATTAACTGGCTAAATTGGTAGTGCTATTATGTTTAGTGAACAAATGAAATTCTTGAGTTCAATTTCCTTGTTACTCAGATTCAGATTCAGATTCATATAACATTTATTTCAATAATAATGACAAACTGATACAATTAAAACTATACAAAAGTAAACAAAATAACAAACTCTTTTATTGTATTTCAGTCTTCCGGTTATTTTAGTGCAAGTTATTATCATTTGAGCCGCTGGTCTTATGTATAGTGGAGAGTTTCCCATATTACAGGCCAATCATCGTCATCATCATCATCATTCTATAATCATTGCTTTTTTTTTCTATTTTATCTTGATGACAATTGCAAATGTGAAATGTAGATCAGTGATTCTATTTACAGCCTGTTTGTGATGGCTTCTCAGTAGCTGACGTATATATTCATTTGTGGTTTCACTTTTTCACCTATAATATGTTTATGAAATAAAATGTTGCTATGCTGATATTAATTAAACATTTTTTGAATCCTTTAGATTGAAAGTCGAAGCTGTTCTTCCTTCAGTTAAGGTCAACATTTCTGAAAACAAGTTGAAAACCTTACTGCAGGTAAAAAAAAAATAAAAATTAACTCTCTTTTGCCTTGCAACTATCATTAAAGTATTTTAATAGGTCAGAAACAAAACATATTGTATTGTTTGACAATGGACTTTTAGAAATATTGTCCTAAATTCCTTCACCTATATTAGCTAATTGACATGTCGACAAGGACGTGAAGCCCCGCCCACAAAGTCACGAAAACCTTAGACAATGGCGGCTAGACTTACCGAGTTGGCGAACATTTTCTTTGCTATCAACCTTCTTTAAGAAAGAGAATTCAGGGTAGGTGGTATGCAAATGAATCATATATTTATAGTGTTAATCTATTTCATGGAACAGGCGGGGAAATTGTTGTAAAAGCCTCTGTATTTCGCTCCCAAAGGAAGAGGGAAAAGCCGCATTCACACAACCTCGTTGGCAAAGACCAAGTCACTGATGCGCACTGCTTGTGTAAGTCTGGGTATCTATAACCAAGCATAGACATCTAGGCCTAGGCTCACATATGTTTTGCGTTGACAAGCTGTCTAAGGAAATTAAAATGTCCGAGAAAAAGTTTTTGATCACATGACTAAATGACGCTCGCTGATTAGTCGGTTTATCGGTCAATCAAATCTCGTCGAGATCTTAATTGTTCACTGAGCAGTTATTTGTTTAATGACTTTCTCAGAAAATATTGTATTAATATATGAATTTGATTTACTCAATGTTTTTTTTTTCTCAGTTTGCACATCACCTACCTCTGCCATCAAATAAGAATGAGCCAGAAACGTCGCCCCCTAGAGGAGTTGTGTTTTCCCTGGTTAGTAAAATAATTTTTATTTTAAATTAATATAAAACAGCAGTAAATTTCAAAAATTTACCTAAAATTGATCAATTGAAAATAAAAACGATTTCCTTACAGAATTTTATTAAGAGATTTTGTTTTCGATCTGATATGACATCATCATGCCTATATTTGGGCAAATTACAGGTATTTTTCCCCGAATAGTTGATAGTATCAGCAAAGGTATTCATATCGATGAACATCTACTTGTCTCTCTTCTTTTATATAGGATCCATTAGCCATTAAAATGGAGCCCTCGGTAGCCACACTCAGGAGGGTAAGGAAGACATTCAGAGAGCCAAAGGTCAAATCAACATCAGTAGATGAATCAGACACTGCTATATCTACTGTGCAACCACACAAGAAAGTAGAAGGTATGTTTGGAGATGTAATAATATTTTATGAAGCCAGTATAAATCATAATTCCAACATTCATAGGGGCACAGATTGGTCTGAAAACATATTTGACATCAATTATTTAAATGTCAACCATGACGTCTAACTGATACCCTGTGTTTTCTTAATATTGTATATTGCTCATTTTCTAATGTTTTTCATCTTTGATCTTGTTAGTCATATGATTTCATTGGCATGTATATTTTTTTCTCAGTTTTTTTTCCAATTAGGACCTATTTTGTGAGACAACAAATCACAATACATTTATAATTTTCTATTGTTTTTATCCAATTAGAGCCAACAACGCCTGATGTTTATTACTCTGCCTCTGATCATTCCGATCAGTCCATTGACCAATGGGCAAAGGTTGACCAGGTCCCAGACTTTGGTGAAAATGATTCTCCCACCAACAGAACAACCATACTTCTTCGTTTTCTGATTCGTGAGGTATGTGATCAACACGTTTCATTCCCATAAATCCATAATTCCTACTGCTGTATAGCAATTAAAATATAAACAGATTTTTAAGGTGACTATTCACCTCTTACAGTCTCAACATTATTATTTTAGAAAACTTTTTTTGGTAAAAATTATAGTAGGTAAAAATTATAGTAAAGTAGGTTATTATTTACTTATAATAACTATTCTGTTTTTAGTTTTTCACTCACAGATTAGTAAAGAGAAAAAGTCCTAAGTTTATGATATCATGAAGTTTAATCCATTGATTCAATAACAGCAAGTACATACCTTACCAATTACATGGATGGAACAACGCTTTAAAAACTCTCTTTATGAGGCTTAGGGAGTAAAACTGTGAGAAAAAAGCCTACAGTGACAGGGTTTGAACTATGACCTTGGGATTGGAAGGCAAGCATCTTAATCAATTTAATTTATTTAATTATTAAATGATTGATTTTTATGATTGATAGGTGGTCTGTAGCATCTCAACGCACAAGGAGGCACGCACTGTTGAAGACATTGATTCCGGTACCTCATCTGACGAGGCCGGAATTCTAGAGACTGAATATCTAACGCTACGAGTTGATTCCTTAATGGTGGATGGTGCAATTAGCACCCATGGTATGGCATTCCAGTTTGGCCTCGGTGGCATCCAGGTTATTGATAAACTCCACGTTGGTAAGTTCATGTACCATGCATCATAACCATGGGGGGGAGTTGGGATGTTTTGCAGGGGGTTGAGGATGGCGTTTAACTTTTGTGTAATTTGTTTATTGTTGTTTCTAGTTGAGATCTTGAGACTATGTAATTTAGTGTAGTATAGAAGCATTACTATTCACTTTATATAAAATATATACAAAGTTTTCCTCTGCAGACTTACCTGCTACAACGTAAGTGTGTCTAAATCTATACAATCCCTCATTTGCAAGTGTGACTCCTGATAAGTTCAATTCATGTAGAGTTCATTTGTCATTAAATAAGAGGGGTATCATTTATACTATTAAAAATTTAAAAAAAATGTTCATTGAAATGATGTTTTCTGACTATTATATGACAATACATATGATATGTAACTTATTTATATTTTTGTAGTGGATAGATGGAAACTTATCATTTATTTTGGCTTTTATTTTTTTTTTTCTAAAGGTGCTCTAGGTACTTATCTTCATCTTGTAAGCTCAGCCTCCAAATCTGAACTGATTTCCATTTTATATAGAAAGGTATTTTTTTTTTAAACTTCTATAAATATTTATAAATACATCACTTTGTATACACAAGTATCTCATTCGAGATCCAACAAGCTGAAAATAATGCACTGAAGAGGGCGTATCTTATAGACCTCTGACAAGTTTGGTGCGATATTAGTGCTATATCAGATCGTGACATCAGACACGTTAAAAGAATGAAAGGAATTCAGATTCTACTGGACGCTTGAATCACCAAAGTGCCTTCATGGTCAAGTGGTTATGACCTTCACCATGTATGCGAAAGGTCACGGGTGCGAGACCCGGTGGAGGCTGATCTTCTTTTTTTTTCGATCATCAGATTCCTCTTCTGTTTTTGTGAAGCAGTAAAATATAATTTTCATATAATTTTTTATCATTCTTGTATTACATTCAACAAAACGTTTATAGACTGAAGGAATGACTTGTATATTAGATTGCAAGATAAAAGTACTGTCTTTCCTTAGAATAACTTCACTTATATGAATATGTGTAATATATTGTCTTCTGTACATCTTCGTGTTGATCGTCATCTTTACCTCTTCAGGTGACCACCGAATGTCCAGACTTTCAGTCCTATTATAATGGTATGGAACAAGCAGTCGTTGTCAAGTTCACCGCCCTCAACGTCATCTTCCACAAAACTGCCATGTTGTACTTGAGGAAATATGTACAAAACATAACTCAAAGGTTGAGCTCTTAATTTTGTTTATAAATATCAATTATATGTGACTTTGTTGGTTTCATTTGATGACATGTATTTTATAAGTTTCTTACTATATGCTGTATTTTTAGTCATTTATTTATTATTTAAATTAGCAAGCATTTTTAGACATCCTGCACTATAATAATAATAATAATAATAATAATAATAATAATAATAATAATGTATTTCTATCCGTTCAACTAACAAACAAATGCCAAAAACCTAGGAGGCAAGCCTGTATACAGATTGCGGTAACTAACTTAATACCTTTGCCACTTACCTACTAACATATAACAGACATAAGGATACAAACATTGTCCAGACTCCAATTAAAACCCGCCACTGGTCGGGTTTGAACCTGTGTATTGAGCACAAGAAGCAGGAATAATACCACTCAGCTAAACGCTTAGCTTTTCGTTTGCTTCAGAGTTTCTATGTACTTTCAGTTTATGCTTAATATAGATAGTTACATAAAGCGTTTTCTTAAGTACTTAAAACTACTACTTGTTTTCTGTTTCTATTTCAGTGCTATTTCTAGGCCGACAGTGCCAGAAATCCATGTTGTACAGCCTACAACCACACACCCTGTGCCGGTGCAGCCAAAAACAGATGGTTTGTGGATAATTCAGTGTTTATTTTAATGGGGTTCATTTATTCATTGTAATAAATTAAAAGGAATCATGTTATATAGCTATTAAATAATCAAACAATATTTATTATATGACATTTTTTTTAGTTTATTGATGTTCATTAGTTCTTTTAAATTTGATTTTTTTTTTTAAGTTTTTTTATTTACCGCAAAATAAATGTACACATAAAATTTCAAACCAATTGCTTTAATTGTTTTGCATGCTTGTTCAAAAATTATTTATTCTAGCTTCACTAAACTCCAAATATCCCATTATAATATATACTCTCCATGATTTTAGGCCCAAGCATAACAAGTCACTTACCAGCAATTACCAAGTTACACATCCAGGCCAAAATGGATTTTATCAGTGTGTCTTTCATGGATACAAACCAGACGCTAGCTAAGATGTTCATCAGGGATCTTGAAGCGTCAATGACCGATAAAGAGAATAGAACAACTATACGTGCACGGTAATACAGTACCTCAAATACAATTAAGATGTACTGTCGGTCAAAAAGACAGGAAAATACCTAAAAAATTTAAATAAAATTTAAAAGGATCAAAGAAAATTATTAGCTTCCAGTGAGAAACAGATCGAAAAAAAAGGAGACATTTTACTACAAAAAAACCTTAACTTGATATACCAGTCAATTTAAGGATCAATGCAAATGAACAGAGGAAGCTATTAATTAACTGTCTGAAAATTGACAGGGAATTTTTTTCTCATTCAGATGTTTGATTTGAATTTAATAACTTACTTAAATATACAAATTAAGCAATTCAAATAAAAATTTTTTATACCTCATGACTGATAGTACATCTTTAAAGCAGATAGTTTTTGTCTATCCATGCAGGATTTAAAAGGTGTCAAAGATTCTGTTTTGTTTTATTATTGTTGTTATTAGTTCAAAATTCATTTTATTTCGCTCATGGGCTAAGGATGGTCAATAGCGAACCTGATCACTGTCTATTGTGAAATAGCGTTTGGCTAATTGGTTCGATGCCCAGCTCTCTGTCGAGTATTGAATTCGGGTCTTGTATAATAAGAAAAAAAAACTCAGCTCCTCAAATAACCCTCTCATGAGAGTTAAGGACCATGTTTGTATCAGTCTGTATCCGTTTGATGTTTATTTAAGGGGGAGGCTAATTATTAAATTATTTTTTCCATTTTCAGATTAAAAGATTTCTCGGTAGAAGATTCTGAAGTAAACAATCTATACACTAAAATTTTGTGTTTAGAAGACCCTACAGCCTTTGAAACTAAGGTAAGACCGTCCTCTTCAAAACTGAAGCTTGAATCGCAAGCATTGACAAAAGATGTCAGCAACTGTACAATCCCATTTTCAGGTTCTTAACCAGTATCTTTCAATGATGCTATGCTCTTATTGAAGTTGTAAATAACACTTCGATTCCTAAATAGCTATTTCTGATACTTTTCTTCTCCCCCTCTACCGAAAATACAATCTAATTAATTTATTTTTTATTTGTAAGTCCCTACCAATATATTATTCCATTACACCAACAACAGTCCTGTACAATTACAATGTTTCATCACTAATTTGTTATTTCTAAGGCAACTGGAATAGTCAAATTATGGCTGTTAGCGTTTTAATGTAATGTCTGTCTTTTATTATTATTATCATCAATGATTAAAAAATTCTCTTTTCCACATGTTTTCAGTTAGAGTCATCCTCTTCAATCTGTACTATGAAGGTTAAATATAATTTGTCTTTCTGTAATTGTTTTTCTCTTTTTGCTTCAACCTAATAATAGTAATGATTGAGCTTATAAAGCGCATCATGCAAAAAGCTTCTTTGCACTTGGTGATTGAGCTCTTCGATTTTGATAGTGTGAAAATCAGGGAACAGTGAAATTTAACTGTTCCCAAGTGAAAATATAAATTTATGTAGCACTATAAAAGTAAACCTACTCTATTTAAACTTGGTTGGCCATTGGCTCTGAGGAGTTCATCCGCCCTTTGTTTAGCTATTTTTGTTTTCTTGCTGTTTGGTGTCCATCTACCTTTCACCCAGGGGCCTCTAAGACTACTAAATGGGGTTGACAGAATCGGTCACTTGACCAGATGCAGTTTATATTATAACGTTGTACCCAAGACTACACTTTATTATACTATACTTAAATATACACTAGCTGACATTTAATGGCTTTTCCTGCAGCAGTGGAAAAGCCGTTGTTCTTTGCCTTTTTTTGTACTACTTCTCTAAAGTTTTCTTGACTTTATGCTTAGGCTGTCTACCAATTTCCATTCAAAGAACATATATATCAAAGATGTGTATACTAAAATGTGATGTAATTCTACGTTATATTTTAATCATAATAAACAATAATTAAACTTTTATATTTACGCAAAATAAAAATTTACAATTCTTGCATTTTATTTGTTTAACGTCTTATCTTTTGATAATTTAAAGTTCCATTTTAATTGGTGTTTATTTGTTTCTGAGTGCAATGTGTTTTATATTAATTTTATTTCTTTTAATATTTCCCTGTTATTGAATGCAATTTGTTGTTCTTGCAATTTTTATGATTTTAACTACATATGGAATAATATTATTATTATTATTATTGCAATTTTAACAATTTTAACTTTAGGATATTTTAAAATTTTCTCATATTTTATTTCATTTATTTATGGAGGCTTTGGCCATTAGGCATTTCAAGCCTGTATTAAACACTGGGTTGAGAACATCTAAGGAGTTTTCATTATTTGCTTAATTCTGAAATTTTTATCACATTCATCTTGCAAGCATTTTTTACTGTTTTAAGTATATTTCACTGGATTATCTTATTGTTTATTTCATTTCATGAGACATTTATTGAGTTAGCTTTCCCAGGCTTCTATATCCATTTGTTGTTTATTCATTGTTATTTATGAAAACAAGTAATCTACTTAATGAAAGACACACCTCATTTTTAATTACCTCATTTTAATTGGCCAGTTTTAAGTTTGTTTTTTTAATCTGATTTGTCAGTTTTTATTTACTTTTGTTATACTTCTGTAAATATTGTAAGTATATATGGATGAGTTAAATGTTCTCGTCAGTTTTCACCGACAATCAGCAGATGGCGTCGCATTGTCTAGCACTCACAGACAGCTAAGAGGATCCGATGACTGGCGGTCATACACCATTGTATGATGCAGAGTGTGTCCAGCCTGAAGTTTGCACTACTGCTTCATTTGAGGAGTTTTTGTCTGGGCTTGGGTAGTTAAGCTGGGCACTCCCTGCGTCGTACAATGACCCAAACTCGGCCATATGTGAGCGCTAGACGACGCGAGGCCGTCTGCTGATTGTTGGTGGCAGTCTGAACAGATTGTCATTAAAAACGATCCATGCGCGCAGTGTGGCGTTATGTTCTACATTGAATCACGTCGGCCAACAACCATCGGCCGCAGTGCGTGTCAGGCTGTACTCATACATATAAAGAACGAAAGAATAGAGGTAATGGTAATGGAAATCGACTTGTATAAAAATCTAACTTGTGCTAACCCATGAAGTATCCTAAAACTAACCAAGTAACAATATTTTACCTGAGAATCACAGCACCTTTCTCAGCAATTTGAGCCACATGGCCAGCTAGTGGAACAGTACTCACAGGTGCTCTAGTGACTAATCTAACCTATCTTATAGGAAGAAATAAAAATGAGAAAAAGAAAATAAATAAATAAATGAAATTAAAGGAATGAATTAGAGAGGTTGAAAAGATGTGTTTTCAGTTGTGTCAAAGACAGAGCTACAAGGATTAAAGAAGGCAGATTGTTCCACAATTGCTAAACCTGTGTTGATTGCTTGTTTTGCAGTTAATTTTATTAAAGCATGAGGAAGATTGTCCCACAGTTTGCAAGCAGCAATTGAGTATTGTCTGTCACCCTACATCTTGAGGCATGATTGAGGAACACATAATGAATTTTTAAATTTTCTTACTGCATAAAAAAATGAAGTTGCTAAACCTGTGTTGATTGCCTTTTTTTGCAGTTAATTTTATTTAAGCATGACAAGAAAGAAGGTCCACCCGTTTTAAATAAAGGAGATGTGATCCCGGTAGATGCGTGCGTACGGCTTCGAGTCGGACGTGTACAAGCGGTGCTCGTTTATCAGTTTGTTCGTGACTTCATTGTAAGTTTACAATCAGGATTTCTGACAGCTGTTTAATGATAAAATAACACCCTAAATCATAATAGAACTGTCCATCCTGACTCTCCCTATAAAGGTGTTTACAGTGAGCCTTGTATGTTGTATGCCTGTTGAAAATGTAAACATTCTGAGCATCTTGTCCTGTGATTGGTTGTTAGGCATTGTGTATCCTAAAATACTTTAAGTACCTGTACTTCCATTTATCTGCGATACATTGTTTCTTCTTAGAATTTCTTTGAACCATTTAGCAGTACTGAAGTTTTAACCAATGCAACAGTGGCATCACAAAAAGCTGTCCAAAAACAGGCAAGTTGTTAATTTTCTAATTATTATTAACGAATGTTTAGGTTTCTTCCGGTATGTGTTTACAAAATAGAAGTAAGAGTATATTACTCATTAAAACTCTGCTGACATTTGTGAATTGATAAGTGTACTAGGAAATAGTCTTACTGATGAAAATCCCATCCAAAGGATGAGGTGCATAATTAAAATCAAAAAGTAAATGTTAGCATTGACAGGTTTTGAATTAGGAGTATTTGCCCCAAAGCTGACTTCCTTAACGTTACAACCCATGCAGGTACAACCAGTGGTGGCACCACTTTCCTCCGTTAGACAGGCCTGAACCCCCTGTCGTCCGATGCCACGATGAGGTTATCGCATCAAAAATTAACAAATAATAATTTGCCTATCCAAATGATGTTATTTTGATTGCCAATCCCTAACATTGTGGTCTACAAGCACAATTTGGGCCATACTTAGCCATAAACCACCTAAAAACCTGGACCAAGGTTCTAGTCGGCCGCTTTGTTCTGACCCCTAGTCAGACACGTCGGACCCCCGTTGGCAAATTTCCGGAGCCACCGCTGGTTAGAACTTTACAAATTGTCATTCATCGATTTTGTGGTTTCTTCCGGTATGTGTTTACAAAATAGAAGTAAGAGTATATTACTCATTAAAACTCCGCTGACATTTGTGAATTGATAAGTGTACTAGGAAATAGTCTTACTGATGAAAATCCCATCCAAAGGATGAGGTGCATAATTAAAATCAAAAAGTAAATGTTAGCATTGACAGGTTTTGAATTAGGAGTGTTTGCCCCAAAGCTGACTTCCTTAACGTTACAACCCATGCAGGTACAACCAGTGGTGGCACCACTTTCCTCCGTTAGACATGCCTGAACCCTCTGTCGTCCGATGTCATGATGAGGTTATCGCATCAAAAATTAACAAATAATAATTTGCCTATCCAAATGATGTTATTTTGATTGCCAATCCCTAACATTGTGGTCTACAAGCACAATTTGGGCCATACTTAGCCATAAACCACCTAAAAACCTGGACCAAGGCTCTAGTCGGCCGCTTTGTTCTGACCCCTGGTTGCCAAATTTCCGGAGCCACCGCTGGTTAGAACTTTACAAATTGTCATTCATCGATTTTGTGAATGTTTACCTTGACAAACTGCCGATATTACCATTTTATCCTAACTAGATGACCCCTTAAAAGTAATAGAACTGTCCTTTCTCATTCCTTTTTTACTATGACTATGAGATATGTTCATTCATTTTCAGGTTAAAGAATTAACCAAACAGGGTATGCGTATCAATCTAAACGTTAACATCCGTGCTCCAGTGATCCTCATCCCACAAAGCTTCCACTCACCCGACACACTGGTGGTGCATCTTGGAGATCTGATCGTCAAGAACCAAATCAAGATGGCTGATAACGCAAACCATCTCATAGATTGCATGAAAGTTTCTTTGAACTCTGTGCAAATCTCCAGGTATTTATAAAATCACATGAAACAATTAAACTGAAGATGTTAGTATTTGGAATGAGGCTAAAATTTACCAATTTACCTTAGAATATATAATAGAATTTTAAATTAGGAAGAAGCATTTGATAATTACTTTAGTAAATGTTAAGATACTTGCATTTAAATTGAGGCAGACACATTTTATAAGTCTTGACTTGTAAGATGACTATCGATTTAGTTAAATTTTCAAGGTTATTTTTTAAGTGTAACCGATAAGTAAAATGATAATCCAACAAATTCATTATATTTGTTGTATGCTTTTTATATAATTCAGACTTTGTTATATTTGTATCATACATAAGTTTATATAAAAAGGTTAAAAGTCTATTTAAGATTTGTGAATATTTACATGGATGAAAAAACTTTTGCTAATTTTCGTAAATGAACACCCACAAAGAAAATAGAACTCTCCATCCCATCACACCATGACCACACCAATGCCCATATGCACATGGGTGCTATTATATTTATGGGGGTGTTCATTTAGGAATACTGTATTGGTAATATTTGGTTTGTACCGGTATCTCACTCATCGATTACCAACATTGCAACATGTGTAGAAATAATCATATGACTATTTTTATTGACAGAGCTACCACTGGCGCCCATCAAGTCTTAGGATCACGCCGTCTAATTGTTGAGCCTGTGAGTCTCCATGTGGACATCACAAGGGCATTAGCACCATTTCCCAATGAAATCATTCCTTTTGATATCTCTGGACGCTTGGAGAATATCAAGGCAAGTTTTTGTTTATGAAATTTATTGTGGAGATTTTGAGATATTATTTATCATTATCTAATAATTTTTTTTATTATATTTACCATGCTTTTTACATTTGAAACTTTCTGTATTATGATTATTATTATTATTATTATTATTATTTTTTAATGATTATTATATTTTTAAAAGTTTTTTTTTCCTTTAATTATATAAAGGTAAATATTGGAGAGGATGACCTTGTCATAATTTTTGCTGTGTTGAATGAAAATTTGTTTCCTGTTAGTGAAGAAGTTGCTCTTGGTAAGTTAAATATTTTGTCCAAATTTTCGTCATCACTGCAGTCGTAATCGTTGTTAATATTTTAATATATTTATTATTTTCATTTCTGGTAGAATATATTGTCATTGTTTTTGCAGATAAAACAATTCCTATGATACATGAGAGTACTTTTAGTCAAGACATTAATGAATCAGTTGCCACGGCAACTATAGAGACTCCACCAAATACAAATATCAAGATGGCGTTTGTGATGGAAGGAATGGAAATAGAGCTCTTCACAAATGAACCGAGATTGGTAATTTTGTTTGTGTGCATTATGTCAAAATAATTTATAACTACATGTCCCCCTCTAAATTAAGTCCCCTCCAATTAAAGACCTCCTCTAATTTAAGACCACTTTTCTGTGGTCCCATATTAACAAATGTCTAATATTATCTTTATCATTGTAATTATAGAGACCAAAGCTGCTAAATACCATGGAAACCAAGGCCCTAAAAGTGGTCTTTAATTAGAGAAGACTTGTATATTTCCTACCATTTTTTACAATTCCAAGCGTTCTTAATATAATAAATATAATTTTGTCCGAATATAGCATGTTATGTTATATAACAAGCCGAACACATACAGTATCAAGTGAAGGTTGCTGATGTGATTCCAAGTGAATGATTTAGAATGCAAATAACCAGCTGTGCTAGTGCACAACTTGATTTGCTAAGTCCCCGGGAAGTAGAAATTGCACATAATGTAATGATAAATTCTGTAGCCTATAGATTTACCAGGAAAATGACAGCAATTTATAGTTGTTATACAGGAAATGCTATAAAGATCCACGAAAGCAAATAAATAAAAAAATAATAAAACTTTAAAAAACACCTAATAATGTAATGATCTTATTCATCTTGAATAATGAATAATTCTTCTCATTTTTTTTTTTTTTGCGAATGTAATCTTTGAATAATGAGTAAATATATCAACTTAACAGAGAAAGAATGGTCAGGGGCTTTTACTGCGTGAAGAGCAGGATGGCTTGTCAAGATTTCAGCTACATGAGGTTGAGGGAAATGCTACCTTTTATGACAATGGTGCGATCATGCTAAGTGCATCTATACACTGTATATCTTTAGAAGATATCAGATGGAGCAGTCCATTAGCAATCAAAAGGTAAGGCACAATGATTTAACATAAGTATAAATTACCCCTCTTTATCAAAGTGGAATAATCCATAAGTTCCTGAACACCATTTTATCAGGTCTATCTTCAAACAGCACCACCATTGTCTCACAACTTTTCACTGGGGGACATCCAGCAGCCTAGCATTAGCAGGCTAGCTATAAATAGAGCAGCGCTAGACCTTTGCTATAACAGCAGCAGACAACAGATATGATCTTTGCTAATTACTGTGTATGTAAACATTGAAATAGCTTTTTAAGACTTAGACTTTATTTTTAATATCAACATTTTTTTTTTTCATTTTAAAATGTTTGTGCTCGTTAGTAATTTAGTTTAATCGTTGAATTAATCCTTGATGGTAACTATGTAGAGTGAAATGCTAGGCCTCTAGAGGTTCCACAGTGGTAGTTTTCCAGGTTCTTGCTTGGCAAAAATTGTGTATACACACTGTACATCATAAGTAGATGGAACAGTTTATTACAAATAAACATTTGAAACCTTTCTTACAATAGGATAATTTACCTAAGTACATAATTATGCACCCTCTATTAATTTGATGGATCAGTCCATTATATATACAGGTAGAAACTACAAATATTTGGCTTTTTTTTTTATTCCTCAGGCTGATTCATCAGACAGGTCGTAGTGGAAACAAAGAGCCGAAGGACAAGTCAGCAAACACATCCCCTATGGTTACGATATCGTTCACCAAAGATTCAGCAAAGAATAGACATTGTGAGTTATGAATAAAAAATGTTGGTGATGATGAAGGTGGCAGTTAAAGCCAGGCTCTGGAGGAAGACATTTTTTTTTATATGTTGTACAACTGATTTTGCAGCAAAATTGAGAGCTGTTAATGAGATATAGATTTTTGAATATTTAAATAATTTGGGGAAACCGGTGAAAAAAAAGGGTGTCTTGTATCTTAGATAAAACAACATATCAAATTTGTTTTCCTCCTGATCCTGGCTGGTGATGGTAGATAGAGATGATCATAATTTTGTTGGGTTTTTTTTTCCTCTATCTTTTGCGGGTAACCTACATTTGTTCATTGTTGTTTTCCACATTACAATTCTATACAATGAAATGGTAGATGTCTGTTAACTATAATAAAAGTTATCATTATATAATACAGTAATAAATGCAAAATTGCTTTTACAGTATTCATAATTATGTTGGTCTTAATGGTGATGCTATTTGTTGTTGGTGATGATGATGTTGATGATGATGATGATGTGAATATCGGCATAAAAGGATCATGGTAGGGAGGGTGATGTTGGTACGATACTAGAGTTGATGATGATGATGATGACGCTGATGATGATGACAGCAGAGACAACAATGATGAAGTATATGTTGGTGAAGATGCTATACCGTTTTCACCAAAGTATTTTCAAATGTATTTCAGTGGACTTCTGTCTGGAAGGAATGCGAATCAACATTTTCATCCACTATTTACTTGCCGTCTATAACTTCCTATCGAGTTCTATTGCCAAGGCAAAACCAGCATCCACTAATGCTAGTCCCACTGGGCAACTTAACAGGCAGTTGTCCAATGAGGCTAGTGCTCCTACCAAAGGCAGCTTGAAGATCACAGGTCGTCTAAAGAAACCAGAAGTAGTCTTGTTTGCTGATCCAACCAGTCAGAATAGCCAGGTGCTAGTACTCCAGGTAAAGATATTGAAAGACTACTCCTGAGTATATTACCAGTGAATGATAGGCGAAAGCTCTGTGTTCAATATTAACTTTTTTTGACAAAAAGATTGCTGTATGACCATATGTCTTGATGTGGCTATATATGGTCATGATGTGATATTATCATGATCATATTTAGGCATGGCACTGGTTTTTATTTCAAATATTTAAAAAAATTAATAAAAAATTAAATTAAAAAATAAATTAATTAATAAAGTAAAATAAATAGAAATTTAAAAATAAATAAATGAAATAAATATGATATAAAATTTAATAGTCAAGACAGGACTTTATAATATTCATCACAATGTTAATGGACTACCACGTTTTTTGACAATTTCTAATCCCCAAAACCCATTTTCGCCAACATTTGACAGATATATTGATCTCTGTTGATTTAGAATTGTTTGAAGATTTCATTTTGAATAGATTTATTGGCTTATTTTTTCAATATATATATTTTAATTTTGATGAGCCCATTGACAATTTGACTGGAAGTGACAGTTTAAATAAAATCTTTTTTTTATGCAATTTTGTCCATCATAGGTTGAGGGCAATTTGAGCTATCAACAGTCTGCCGCTATTGACCGACTGGAAGCAAGCCTGAAAGACATACAGATATTCTCATGCATCTACTCTCAGGCATTGAGAACAGCATACCAAGTAGGTAGAAAAATCTTCCATTAGTGAGACGTTTACATCACAAAATGACAACTACTTACTCTATTAAATAAATACTTAACTGAATGAATTGAAAATTGCCAGCTTCCTTTTAAGAACTTACCTAAAAATTAATGCAATCATCTGACCCAGGTGCATGTAACAAATTGATCATACATAACATACCTCAGTTTTCATCCCAAGTTCTTTTATGAATATTTATCAGGGCTCACCATTGTTATTATAATATATTATCCAATTCATCTATGTAGGTTGCTATTTTGGTTTACTGTAACCTTTGAGATGAGGTCCGAGGTAATTAACATCTAATCAAATCGTATGATTTGAACTACAGACTTTCAACATAACACATGGTTCCATGTTGACTGGGCAACAGAGCCAATGCTTGTACACTCCCAACATGTGTACTTAATCCAAATCTTCTCAATGGGACCATTTATTTTTCATTAAAATTTTCTGTCATAAGGCACATAATTACGAAATACGAAGGACTTTATTGCAATCTCTCATTCAAAATTGAAGTTTAACAAAAGGGGAGAAAAAACATTACAAAACAACATCACAAACCCACTAAACACATAAAAAAATAGAATAAATCTACAATAAGGCATTACAATTAATTAGGCAACAAGTTAAAAATTCAAGTAAAAAAATAAATAATTCACTAATTAATTAAAATTTAAATAACATTTTATTTACAATTAAGTTAAAAAATTATTGCAACTGGGAATCTATAAGAAAATTTAGACCGACACCTAAACCAACCAAAAAACTGACTCGCGAAAAATAAAAGGAATAACTCGTTTAAAAAGACCTCGCCAGAGAGGAGGGCCCAGGTGTACAGGGACAACCTACCAATTGTTTTGGATATGTTTTTTTTCAGGTTCTTGATCCGTGTGTGCTTAACCTCCACCGAACTTTGTCCCACCAAGGTGTTGAAGAGATTGGTGTGAATCTATCAAGTGTTCGCGCTCGCATATCACCGCGTGTGGTGTTTATGATACAGGATATAGTACATGGGTTACGAGCCTTCACTGTTGTAAGTATTAGCAAAGAGTGTACAACTAATTACTACCACAAACTTGAAAGACCTTAAAAGGTGTTACATATCATATGTGTGCAGTGTGTGTAGAAGGTATTTTGCAAGTTTTGAACTCTATTCAAATTCCAATAGGGCGCCCTCTATCTTGTGATAGTACTTTGTTTTTCGTGTTATTGGTATAAGTGTAAACATATGCTATGTTTTTAGATATTAGTCCGATAACGGCGCTGATTTGCAGGTTTCCAAAACACTATCTGCATTTTTATTGTGCTTGGCAGGTTGTTCAAAGGGTTTAAACACATTTTTAAAAGACTAGTAAAGCCTTTTATCATTCGTAATGACACTAAAAGGTAGTCAATTTTGTTTTAACTACCAATATGTTTACATTTTACTAGTAATTTATTTTAGTTTTACATCGTTCTTTCTTAATATTTTCCTTATTTAGAAAACTCCAAAGGGGATGTCGATGAATTCAGATGATAGTAAAGAGGATATGTGGACACCAAAGCCAATTTTCTCAACCGCCTTTCCAAAGCGAAAAGGTACTGTATATATAGTGTCTTTTACATGTACTATATTAGGAATGTCTTTTTTGCCTCTTCCCTGTGGGGGAAAAAAATATAATTGCTGTGAAAATTAATTTAGAAACATACCATTCCGATTGTGAATTGATGTTTAAAAAAACATTATTCAATAATTTATTCAGCATATGTACATATACATATGCTTCTTTTACTCTTAACTAAAGTGCAATACAACTTCTGTATTTACTATTTTAAGTAATATTTGTAATGATTATAGTAACTTCCTAATGTACATTTTGTTGTTTTTTTTCAAATACTGTATACCTATTTAGATTTTGTAATGTTTTTTGTATATGGTTAGTATTTTTGTATAGCCAACAACGAAATAATTTCTTGTATTGTATTTTAACTTTCAAGACCAATAAAAGTTCTGTATTCTAGATGATAATTTTTTTTTATTTACTGTATTTAGGTATAAAACACATTACAAAAGACAGAAGTTATTGCATTACAATAAAAACAGCATTTACAGAAAACATTTAAATATACTCCGGGATATCCAGTAATTTATAATGAGAAATCCCAACAGAGAAAATGGCAATGTATATTATGCAACATGTGTTAAGACCAAATTACAATCATTAAACTATAAAGTAAAAACATAACATATATATTTTTGTTAAAAAGGTATGAGGTCATGGTAACAAAAGAAAGTAAGGTTGACCTGTGCTTTGATATAGTCTGTTTTTATTTGCATAGATTTTAATAATAGTGTACCTACCACACACTTTAAAACTTGTACTTGTTCAAATCTTTGTAGGTTCCGTACACAATAAACCTAAACCAGGTGAGGATATTGTGTTCCTGTTTTCGTTAACAGAGCATAGTTTTTGTTGTGTGCTGCTATGTCTTAGCTAAGCTAACATTCTATGTGAATGTTGTCACAGACTATGAAAATTTCATTTCCATATTTTGTTTTAATGGTTACAGTGAATTAGACACTTACTACTCATTGTCATATCTCCCATGCTTCAATAGCATGATGTTAGAATCACCTCAAAGTTGGTGTTTTCTTTCATGGGTCAATTCAGTATACCATTCTTAATGCTATCATATGAACCAGGTCATGGTATTCAAGGCTCACTTCACTTGACAACATTTGTATCATCAGTGGATTTTATGACCAGTGCTGAATTAATCAAGCACCATTGACCTCATCAAGCTCTCATAGATTTCATGGACTATGACTTAATTTTATGGATCTCATAAATACCTCATGGACTATAGATTTCACAGACCATAATTCTCAAGGATTTCATGCACTATGAATAATTTTTATGGATCTCATAATATCTCATGAACTATATATCTTACAGACCATAAGCCTCATGGATCCATCATGAATTCCTCATGGATTTCCGTGGAAGACCATAAATCTTGTGGGTTCATCATGAATTCCTCATGGATTTCATGGACTATGACTTAATGTTATGAATCTCATAAATATCTCATGGACTATGATGGATCTCAGACCCTAAGTCTCGTGGATCAATTATGAACCCTCATGGATTTCATGGACTATGAATAAATATAATGGATATCATTAACATCTTATGGACTATATGTGGACCTCATGGATCATTATCCATCATACAGCTCTTCAGGGATTTCTTCCGGACCGTCTCTACATATATTTATCCCTCATGAACCATATGCAGTACCAAATATACCACACCTAGTCCATCTTGTATTGGACCATCCTAAATAGGTTTTTCATGGACCATTTTCATACAGCTCTTATGGTCCATCTTCACAAATCTCACATAGACCATCTTCAGACATAGACTGCCCTCATACACGTTTCATGGCTCATCTACATAAGTGAACCATTTAAAACTTAAATGCAACAAAACATTTCTTAAGTGCAATTGTAATCTGTTTGTACTGCTGAACCTATGTACCCTCACCAGAGAATTCAATTCCATTTATAACACCTTAAATTCATCATTTGTTCAAGTGATTCTTAACCATCTGCGATGGTAAAAGAATAATTATCTCATTACCGATGGTAACATGTTTCATTCTAAAGTTTATTATGCACGACACCATGGCTGCAGGGTTGATTGAAATAGACAAATGGTACCAGATATTTTTTGTCACATAGTTATGAACTCATTCTTACATGATACAAAACATGCCATGCGTATGGCAAATTCGCTGAACACCTGAGTTTAACTAAAAAATGAAGTTATATAATTTGGGATAGTACTGTATTGGGAAGTTATATTCCATATTAATGATGTGTGATTATTCTGAAGTAAGTCTTAACTAACACACTGTGCGAAAGGATGTGCTCTATAGACTACAGTAAAACTTTGCTCTTTTAGTTACTTTGTGTACGAATAGAATGTTTTAGTGATTATTTAGTATTTTATTCTGTTGTATTGTATGCTGTGTGCACTTTTTTAGAAATCTGTTGAACCAGACATCAAAATGGTGGTGGTGGTGCCATTTGATGTTGGATCTCTTGTAGTATTTAAAAAGTATATATATTTAGGCTGCTATATTGAATTTATTGCCAATTTGTAAAGATGTTTAAGTCTTGCAATTTTATACGTTTTTCTACTTCTGTTTTATATTCTTTTGTTTTAAGTGTTATTTAAAAAAAAACCTATACACATGTTTCTGACATTTAATTATTTGTTTTTATCACATTCTTAGAGAATGACCAAACTCAAGTTGATTTCTCTCCATTGGACGCCCAGCAGGTCAAACAAAAACTGACCATTGAGACAAAACATTTTGAACTGACACTTGACATTGAACAAGGCTCTGACCATTTACCTATGCTGTGTGTCAGGAGTAAGTTGGAAACGGTCTTAACCAACTGGTCAACAATGGTTAGTAATCAAAATATAAAATTATGGGAATGTAAATGGAAAAGGCTACGCATTTCTACTACTATTAATAATAATAAAAATAATAATAATAATAATAATAATAATAATTCTGGATTTATAATTTTAACTGTGTTATCCTTTTGTGTACTGATTTCTGAATTTAAAAAGTTTGAATGAAAAAAAAAATATATCGAATAACCAATAATTCTGTTAGCTGATTAATTAATTTATCATTGGCATGTTACCCAGTAGCTGCAATTAAAGGTTCCAACTGTGAAGCCGGTCTCATGCGTTGCGATTTTTTGCTTACGATAAGCTGCATTACGGCACACACGACTAGAATTTTACACGACTAGAACATTTTAGAAGGTTGCAACTGTACGGATACTTAATTCACACTGCCTTATTCTTGTGTAAAGCTTTGTCTCCATATTTGTCTCACACAGTATGCAAACTAGTTATTATAAGTGTACCTTTGTCTTTGAATCTAGATGCATTTGAAGTTGGAACTAAGTTTAGAAGCGTGGTTGTACAACGAACGGCTCACTATTTGGGAACCGCTAATTGAACCAGTAATGGAAAAGGAAGGAGTTTACAGACCTTGGGAACTTCTCGTTAGAGTATGTGTTTAATAAATTAATTTTTTTTTTTAACTTTAAAGTGCATTAGGCATATTGCATAATTTTCAATAATATTCTCTTTAATTGGCCATTATATTCTTTAAGACTCCCACGCCATATAGTCCCTACCTAGCACTTTGGCTGTTTATACGTACCTAGCTCTGTATCATAATGGTTATCCCTTGCTATAAATCGCCTTAAACTAAATTTAAAATGAGGTTGCAAAGCATCACTTAAGAGCCTGTTGAATTTGTTTATCTGTTCTTTAGTCTGACCCAACTCACCATTGTTGTACTAGCTTTGTTAATTCTGTCATTTGCATATTGTAGCATTTTTGTAATCGCTGTCAAAGTTTCCTCGTTCCTGAAGATGACCCAATAAAGGTCGAAACGTTAGCCTTCCTCTCATTTTTTAGAGTAACGCTTATTCCATTACAAAGAAACACTGGTTTACATAACCACAAGCTAAGCAACTTTGGCCTTTACTAGAAACTGCTTTAACCTTGAAAGGAAAAAATTTGTTTGAAAAATAATCTTCGTCTATCTGTGCAAGTCAACTTAGTAAAGCTGTGAGTCATATCAACTTATGTCTTGTGTTATGTTTTCTAAGATGTGCCAAGCTCCTAGTCAGCCAATCACCTGTACCAACGAATCGGATGTAGCCTTCCAGTCATGCGATCAGATTGATGGCACCTCAGGGTTTATACAACCGACACTGGGTTCAGAAAGTGGCAGCGAGACAGACTCAAGTCCAGACGATGAACTTGAATGGGACGGTAACTACAGTAGCAGTTTGCTTAGCAGTGGTAAGCTAACGTCCCTCCTCCCCATTTTTTAGCACTTTTGTAAAAATGATATCAACGTTACTGAGTGTAGTTCTTATTGTAAGGTATGTTACAGCCCTTTCTGAAAGTTCTTTGACAAAAGACTGTTGTATGCCCATATATAGTCACGATGTGCCTATATATGGTCATGATGTGCCTATATATGATCATGATGTGATGTCATCATGACCATATTTATGCACATCACATGTTTTTGTCAAATTTGATAGTCTGGATACGGCCTTATGTTCTCTTTTTTTTTTACTGATAATAATTAAACTAAATAATTAATATAATATAAAGGTAGGTATTTATGTTCCCAATATTCTTAAGTGATTAGTTTCTGTGTGTCTATTTGTTCTTATTGGTGCTTAAATGTTTTCCAGATGTTGGTACTCCTTCAGATGCCCCTGATCGAACATTCAACCCTGTAAGTGAGAAGGCGGCAGATGGCGAAGGGGAAGAGCAAGAAGAAGAGGAGGGAAGCTTCTTGAATAAAGTAGTTGGTTTCATCTCCGACATGTTCTCTGACAGTGAATCGGAAGAAGGCGATGAAGGTGAAGGCGATGGAGAAGAGAGCGGCCGACGTAGGGTCAAGCACGACGCACACGGCAGACCAAGGACGGCTGCGTCGTTAACTTCAAGCAGAAGTCAATCACGAGGTATTATGGTATTTAAAAGTTGTCATTTGAGTGCTTGCCTATTGATCAGAGGTCTTGGGTTCAAGCCCTGGTTTGATTGTATAGCACATATTTGGATCCCTGTGTTATTATGTACAACACAAAGGGATGAATTTCAAAAATAAATACAGAAAGTAAAAGACAAAAGAAGTGCAAGATGAAAATATATTTATTTTACAAAAACCTTATGTGTAACCTTCTATGTGTAATAATAAAATAATGTGAAAAAATGCCCCATATCTAAATATTTCAGGTTTCACTGATTTACAGACTAGTACAGTATGTTTCTTAAATTATTATTATTGGCTTTATTGTTTTTTGTTTATCTTTAATTCTGAGCGTTTTGTATTCTACGGAAAAGATGCTATGCCAATGCATGACCATTACATTACATTAAATTGATCGCCAGCGAATTTAAAGGCACTATGCAAGGCATAGCAACAGTATTATGTTTGTGTTTATTTCCGATCACCTATTTCATTTCAATCGATGTACAATAAATAACTGAAGTATTTATTTTTATATTTGAATTTATGAGTCTATATTGTATTGAATTTATTTAAATATTTATTTTCCAATTAAAAACATATCAATATCTATTTTTTTAGATGATTTTGACTTTGATGAACCTGAAGAGAAAGAAAAATTGGCAACATATATCATCATTAGTTCCCTCGATCAAATGGATCTTTCTGTAACACCATTCGCTTTAGAATCTATGAACGATATAACAGATGGGTTCATTAACAAACCAGATGGATTGATGGAGACGAAACAACAAATCACTCAAACGCCATTTACAGTTTGTAATACCACAAGCCTCCCAATAAAGGTTGAGCTGCCAACCACACTGAAGGTAATTAGCAAACAGTTACACTGATTGGAATCGGAAAATCCAAGGGAGTCCACCATATTTTTATTATTACAATGACTGTATCTACAGTACTTCAGGATTAAATATTCAATTATCATTTTTCAATCATTAAATCCATTTAAACAATCGTTTATTCCAGATGCAATTTTCAAATTTATAGCAAAATTCTATGCATTTAATTTCTATATTTTATTTCTAGAATTACAAACTAGTTTGTCTCAGAGGTGCAGCCATTATGTTTTATTATGAATTCTAAACTCTTTACTCTATAAATATCATAACTTGCTAATGTCTTACCCTAAAATTTTGCAATAGCTCAAATTGATTTAAAAAAAAAATTTCATGTAATTTTATCAATATATATTTTTAACCCAGAATTTTGCAATAGAAAAAAAAATTTCCAGTTTTTGAAAATGGGACAATATAGTTTTTTTTGCCATGGATTTTGTGGATAATCTCGATTAATTCGTAATAATTTAATAGTTCAATACGGTAATAATTGTATATATTCCTTTTTTTATCATATGATTATACAATTTGTATAATCAAAACTATAAAAAAGGATCCCATTGTATTTTTTTTTCGACACCCATTTTAGGGTATGATATTTTAATAATAATTAAATTATTAAATAATCTATTAAAATAATAGGGATATATTAATAGATTTGTATTATTAATATATTACTTAAATGTTATTTCAGAGGATAACATCGGGTGAAAATGTAACAATAGAAGCTATCACTGATGGTACTGAAGATCTTAGCACCGATGAACCCGATATGAACGCTGATAAGTATGAAAACATATACCTGATAAATACATGTATTATATGTATAATGTTATTCACAATATTTTAACTTACAATTAATGAGTAAATGGCCATATCAGTGGGAGGGAGTAAAAACATGCAAGCCAAAAAAAAAAAAAGAAGCCATTAGCATACCATAACCTCACATGTACCATACTGTAATTGAAGCAGTACTCCTGATGTTAATTTGAAGATTCATAAATAAAATGCGTATTTACACTAATTCATGTTCTCCACAGAAAGAAAAGCAAAATCGTAATGTTTAATATAATCATACTTTATGAATGTTGTTTTGCTTCAGTGACAATTGCTTCAGTCTGCTACCCTCAGCTGCCAGGTCGCATGTTCGCATGTCTCTACGATGCGTTGCTCCTCCAGCACCACATAGTGAGGATGATGATGATGATGAACGTGAGGAGAATAAGGAAGAGGATACGCCAGATGCAATTGTGTTCAAAGCCAAGCACAGCTGTTCTCCTAAAACACCAGTAGATTCAATTTGTGTACAGGTAATACAAAAAAGCATCTCCATGCATGGAGGACATGAAAGCCAGCTACTACAAACCAATCTAATCAGTCAATCATCCTTTATTTCAGAAATTCAAAATCATAGATTAAAATAGATTTTCCTTTTTTGTCCAATTCCAAATTCCAGTGCCAGTATCAACATTTAACAAGTACATTGTCCCTTATGCTGCCTAACTCTCATGCAAGGGTTATTTAAGGAGCAGAGAGATCTGATTCTGATAAAAAAAATCCAATGCTGGCCAGGTTTCAAGTAAGGTCTTCTGCACAAAAGCAAGAACTCCAGGCCAAAGGCTCAGTTATACCATAGATAATTACTGTTATATGATTACTTTAAGGTACAGTCAAAAGGCTGGTAGGCAAGCTAAAAACAACATGAAAAGCAACAATGAACAATGAACTGAAAGAAGAAACAAATTTATTTAAATATTAGTTACTCATAGACTACCAGCAGTTGTATTGTGTGATAATTTGCTTCAAAATTTAATCAAGTATGTTCTCACTGTTTAGATAGAAGGATTTGACCCCCTCAAGGATGTCAAGTGTAACCAAGTTGGTCAGATGCTGTACTACCTGTCACCAGTCAAGGTAATTAGATGTCACTGTTTATAAATGACAGATCAAAACGATCACTAAAAGATGCGCACACAGCGCCAACCAATGGGTTTGTTCATGCTTTCCATGACCAGTTGCCAAACACAACATCATTCTACTGAAAATTGGTGCGAGTCTAAGTTGATTCTCACTGAAAGCAATCTGTGGCTCTGTGAATCCGTGCATCACAGTTTCATGAATCATAAGGCTGCCGAGACAGTGGGCGCCAAGGTTTACAGTACAGTGTAATGATAAATCTAGCTACAGCATAACAAAATTCATATTTTAAATTAAAAAATGTGTTGGTGAACATAAGGTGGTATCTGTACAAGGTTGGTATATGCAAACTATATATGTGTATAAGATAGTATAATACATACTCCAAGTATTGAAATGCACGCCATCGTGTCGGGATTCAATGTTTCGACATTAATTATTTCAACATCAGGAATAGATGTGTATATAGCACTCTTAACAAAAACAAAGTATATAAGAATATGTGGTCACAGAATGAAGGTATAAAATCGTAGAGGCTGATTGAGCTAGTTAATATCATTTGAACTATAGTGGTTTTTTCCTTTCATATGTAATTTCTAGACAGTTGTTGTAGTTTTCAATACCATTTTTATCATTTCATTTAGTGACTCTATTCAACTACAATACAAATGATGTACAGTATGATAATGAATAGAGACAATCTTCCTTCAGTTATTTCCCATGATAATGCAATTTCAAATAATTATTTTGTTTAATGTTAATTATATTACTTGTGTTTTTTTTTAAATTAGGATGGTATTCAGTATGCTGTGGTAGCAGACGTTTCTATCAATCGCTGCAAAAAGACGTTGACCATAAGGTCACCTTTGCAAGTAGGTCAACATACTTCATCAATTACCAAGTTGTTTTACTTAAAATTTTGCATGAATATAGGTTTAATTCTTAACATTTTTATTTAATGGCAAACAGGTAAATTTTTTAAAAATAATTATTTAACATGCGCAAACCAACTTAGCTTAAAATGCATGGTTGTGTGTATAAACATCTTACTTAATTATCTTCTGTAATCAGTTCAGTTTTGTTGCACTGATGCCACTCACATCCCAGATGCAGTCTTATAGCATCCAAAAATATGCTGGGTCTGACTGTTGAAGGAATTTTCACTGAGAGAGTTTTTTTATTGCTACATTCATACGAATACAACAGAATTATGACCAATGATTCTTAATAATAGAGTAATTTCCTATCTTTTGTTTGTGTATGTAATTGTTACCTTATACAGTACACATACAGGGCTAATGGATAAATATACCCCAAGGAATTGACTATGTTGAGCATTTTGTACCTTTTTTTAGCTTCACAATCATCTGGCTGTGCCAATGTCTGTATATTATGACCTACCCAGGGCTAGCAGCCTAACCAATGAAATGAGTGCGGCAGTGGGCAAGCAGAGCCTGGGTGTGTTCCAGCCCAACACCACTATGGATCTTCCTCTTGATGTTGCTTACAGTGCTAGTTTGTACTTTGGACCTTATGACCAGGGGTATGTGCAGTTTAAGATGATGATGGTGATGATAATGGGGTCGATTTGGTGGTGGTGTTGATGATGATGATGATGATGATAATGACAAAAAGAGGCTATAATGGCAACAGTGGCAACTATTATCTAATCCCGTTGGTAGTACATTAGTATGTGGTGGTTGTGGTGGTGGTGACAATGGTGGCAATAGTTGTGGTGGTGATGACAGTGGCAAAAGCTGGTGTGGTGTTGGTGGTAACAAGATATGCAGTGGAGGTGACTGTTGTAACAATGATATAAATGCTTTTTGTAGTGATAGTCAACATAACTGATATTTTGCAAATATCAGTTATGGTAATGAGGTCAAAAAAATGGTTGTGCGTTTGCAGTGACATTTAAAAGTCGGGAGTCGGTTGGTCAAAATTGTTTTAAAATTATATAAAGTCTAATTCAAGATTGTTTTGTCAACCATCACTCACCCCTATACATCTTAAGTATAACAACAGATAATATTTATGGTTCAGGGATTACATTTTTTAACTTATAAACATTTTACAAGTGTTATGAGCTTCTTGGAAAAAAGAAATAAAATAATTTTGGTTCAGTTCTGTTAAGCTTGTGCAATGCATACCTGTTTTTTGGCCTGAATATTTTACATATAAATATCATTCTTAATTTTGTTAGTGCATGCATTTATACTGATAAAGCTCTAACCTTGCATAAATTATGTTAATGATTATCTTTCTTCAATTAGATATACGCTTTGTAACAAAGCAGTACAGTGGCAGAGATTGATCGAAAAGAAGCAACAGATATGTATCTCCCAAACTGAAATTAATGATGAAAAATTGTTTCATTTTAAGGTACTATTATCTAATAAATTCACCAACAATTTATTAGCAGAACATTAAAGTCCATACACTTAAATATATATAGTCATTGAATGTTGAGAAAACTCCAAAAAGTCAACTAAAAGTACTGAATAGCACATTAAAAAAAAACCAAGTAAGTTGGAAACTTCCCACACAAAATGGCAAACACAAAAAAAAAATTTTTATTTTTTTACCAATATACGGACTTTATGCTATAAAAAAATTATTCTTAATAACCATTGTCTGTTAAAATCTAAAAATTTAAAAAAGGTTTCATGTTTTTAACTTTTGTTCATATATGTGCCTTTTGTCAACACCTAGTGATTTTTCTATTATTGTTATTTTATACTGTTTTGAAAACGTAATTTTGGTTATATTTCTTGATCTCCTGACATTTTTAATATTCTAAATATTTTCAACAAAATTTTAATAGTTTATGCAAAAGAGCAATACACAGACGTGATTATTGCATATTCAAGAATGTCTTCTGGTATTTACTATTGGGCGATAACAATATTTGGGTGTTCTTTCACTTTTACAAACTAATATTGGCTAAATCTAATAAATCTTAACTTCTTTTTAAAGATTTTTTGTAGGTAAGTAGTAACAATTTTACTTAATTGAATTGCAGTTTGAAAAGCTTTGAGAGCAGTGTTGAACGAATTCTACAGTTTTGATTAAGTTACAAGATGTTCCGATGATAATATTTTATTTTTGCATCGGGAAGACGAATTTTACTTGTATTTTATGTACCAGTGACAATAAAAGAATCTTGTATCTTGTAATATAGTATTGTGGGTAATTTATACCTGTGAAAGTAGTGTTACCAGAATAAGTGTTGGTTTTTATTTAAATAATGCGCATAACAATAATAAGTGCTAATAAGTGTTTTCTTTAACAAATGCTTTAAAAAGTAACTTGATACTGTATAAAATCGCCATTTTTTTGCTCATTACTGATAGTAGATTTTATTTTTTCAATGCTAGAAATATTCAAGAAACTTGAGGTTATATATGCATCATTTATTCATACATTATTTATTTTTCATTCAATCATTTATTCATTCATTTCACATATAAACCATATAACATATACATAAAAAATGGTTTTCCTACTCTATACGAATGTAAAAAAATTGACAAAATGATATATATAAGCTCAAGGCCTTCTTCAGTTTCCTCAATCTTGATTATGTTTGTTCAAGATTGGATTCAATTATCATTAAATCATTGAAATTATAATTGTTTTTTTTGTTAAATAATAAAATAGTATTTCTAATACAAATGACTTAACTTGTCCATGGAACCTACTCTACAGTACTTTATATATATACATTTGTTTAGCTGCAATAGTCCAGCATAGCAAACTTAAACTGCAATAATTTTATGTCACCATGATGCCTAATGTAGTAGATAGGCCTTTCTAATATAGGCAAGGGGCAGATTGAGCAAGTGTTTGAAAGCTTACAGCTCTAGGTAGCATCTTCTATTTTGTGAAGATCGTTATTCTCCAACATCAGTAGTACATATGTTGTGGGAAAATTACAGGCTATGCTTTTACTGCGTAGCGTAAAAAGACTTGATTCTAGTTTTATGTCACCATGCTTCATCATTGTTTTGTTTACATTTAGTGTATCTTAGAGGCGGAGTCACCGGCAAGGAAAGGAGTCAGTGTCAAGGAGCACGTTCCACTGTACACTCTTCAAATTTATCCACCGATTGTGCTTCATAATTACCTACCATATGATGTCATCTTTTCTTTCGAGGTAATAGTCTTTTAATATGTTTTTTTTTTGTAGGAGGGTGTGAATATTAATTATATTATGTATGCTGGTTTACAATGTGCTTCAGTAACCAGGGATCCTAAGTCTCTAGCATGTTGCGGGAGTCATTCACGATCAAGCAAGAATCTCCAGGATAATAACACATCTCCCACAAATTCATAATATTTGCACGTTTTTACTACTTTATTATCAGTTATATCACAAAAGTCAGTGTTTCTGGATATCACAGTGCAGCAAAAAATAATCAGATGCGTTAAAAAAGCTCATTTAACCAGATCTCCTGGAAGTGACTTTTTCCAACATGCGACCCCCTGACTTCCAAACAATCTGTCGGTGATGCTGATTGGTAGGTCATATCGGGGGCCCTCCCAGAAACGCAGTACAACAATTGCACTGAAAACACTGTAGCGACAGTGTAGCGATTTTAAAGAAACCAGACTCAAGTGTGCCCTGAATATCAGTAATCATTCATATTTGTTCTATATTCTTTCTAAAACAGGAACCAGGTTTGAAGTTTCTGTTGGCTGGTGAGAATATGGCTATCTATAGCATCAATCCAGAAATTCAAAATTCCATGAAAATTCAAGTAAGATTCAGATGTATAAAAATATGAATAATAAGTAAAAGGATAGTTGATTAAAGTAGGTTTCACACTACCGTAAAACCTCGAATTAAAGCCCTGGGCTTCCTTTTATTGCGAACTTTGGATGGGCTTCTTTTCGAGATGGGTTTCTTTCCAAGATGGGCTTCTTTTTGAGGCTATGTTTACAAAGTAAAGAGGGGGAGGGGGCGCTTCTCTTAAAAATGAATACTGTACATTTTGTGAATTTATCCTATAAAACAATAAATTAGGCCACTGTAACATCAACCTGCATCATGGAGTGGATTTAACTGGTGTTAAATCACCTTAACTACAGTATAAACCAGGCTTGTTTCTAGTTTATTTTGTTTTTGAAATTCATGTACTGTACTATCTTGAAAAGAAGCCTATGTTATCTTAAAAAGAAGCCCATGGGCTTCATTTTAGGATGGGCTTCTTTTCGAGGCTAAAGGTTCTGCAAACTATAGAGGGGGCTTCAATTCAAGATGGGCTTCATCTTGAGGTTAAACCCATTGGGCTTCAAGTCGAGGTTTTACGGTATCTATTTAAGCTCATTAAGTTGTTTCCTCACAATAATGCTGTTGTACTGTTTAACTGTTTAAAAATTTAAACATTCAGACCTTGTCTATCCTGTGAATAGCTATAAGGCATTCACATTCAAACTTTTGGAAATGTAAATGAATGCAGCCACATTAATCCACTTGAAAATGTAATCATCCACTACTTGGCAATCCTGTAATTGGATATGTTACATAAATATTTAAACTCCACCAATCCATTAATTGTGGTTTTTGCTTTCTAGGTGAAGAACTACCTTTCATCCAGTTGGGAAGGAACTGTAAATGTTTCCTCGAAGATGAAGCACTATGATCTTGTTTCCATGACAACCAAAGATAGTGACAGTGAAAGAAAAAGATACTTGAACCTTGGGGTGCACATGTCAAGTACAAACGGGCTAGACATCTTCCTCTATTCACCTTACTGGATAGTGAACAAGTCAGAACTTCCAATTGAAGTTAGGGTAAGTTTAAATTGTAATAGCATATTTTTATATGGAATCCACATGAGAAGGATGTCAAGTTATAGTAATCATCTACCTAATTTTTATTTCATCAATCAGATTAAGGAGGCTTGATGCCTTTATAAGCTCTATGTTGAATAAGTCATCTGAAAGCTTTAAAACCCTGTGTCTTGACAAAGTAATGTGGCATCATGAAATAATGAAAATCATGTCAGGTATATCTTTTTATATATTCTAGGCCTCGAAATCTAGCAAAGTTTTTGGAAACCAGACATCAAGTGAGCCAGTATTGTTCAACTTTAGCAGTCCTAAACGAAAGAAGGTAAATCAAGTGCAAACTACAATCAAAACACAATATACAATTTCAATCTGTCTACAGTTTTTTTTTTAATTGTTCAGTTAAACATTTACAAATAAAAATGGAGATCAATAGACTGTAGTCTGTGCTTTCAAGCAGTAAATTAAATCAGTCATTCATAGTTTACTGCATATATTATGTATTTATTCTTATTTGAACATTCTTCAATCCTCTTTTATTGTACAAGTCTCATTAAGTTTCTAAACTTCGTGCTCGACAGTGTTGTTCCATCATGAGTGTCTTCTTGACAGATGACAGCACATACTAAAAGTTTATTATTTTTGATACGGAAAGTTTAATATTTTTGAAACAGATTTTTCTACTTTATTATTTGTTAAACCAGACACTCACTGCATCATATCACTGAATCAAACTCTGACCCCTGTTAGCGCTGGACGACGCAATGCCGTCTGGTGATGGTGGGTGGCAGTCAGATTCAGGTTCATCTTTATTCACCATATATCAAATACATGAAATTCTTTCCAACGTAATATACACAGAACAAAACGTCATTAAGAATTATCTATTTCGCGCCTGTCACAGCATCGGTCAGTGATTCTCGGCTGCAGTGAGTGCCTGCCTTTATGGTCACGTAATGTGTGATTGTTGTTTGTTTATATTTCAGGCCAAAATGCGTGTTTTTCACTCGGTATGGTCATCCTCATTCTCATTGGATACTATTGGTAGTTCAGGTGTTGTAGTCTGCAAGGATGAAACACATAACAGAACTTATCAGGTGTGTAAAAACTATTTTTTAAAGAATTTATGCTTATTTGATTTATTTTATAAAAGAAAAGATAACAAAATACAATCACAAAGGAAGGCATAACTTTTATTAACAGAGAACAAATTTTACATTTTATTTTTAATTTTATTCAAAGGTCTACATTACTGATGCACAATGTTCATTATATACTGTAACTGTCTATTAAATTCTACTGTTGTAAGATTTATACTTTGCTAATATATTTTATTTAGTTTTGGGTGGAAATTCAGATGTCCCGTCTATCCTTGACCAAGATAGTGACCATCACACCTTATCATCTGGTTACCAACATGACAAGGTCAACTCTTTGCTATCTAGAAGAAGGCGTCAAGGCCGGAGTTTGGGTTAACATAAAACCTGATGTGGTAAGGTGGTATTTTTTTTTACCGGTATTTTTTTTTACCCAGTAAAGTAAATCCTTACTTAGTCACTAGGGCTCATTGTGCTGGAGCTTATTCCCAGTTTCTTTAGTGATGTGATGTGATGTTCTCCCCACCCCCAAGATGTGAAGCTAATTCATTACATTTTATTCCCAGCAATTTGTTGGTACCCATTGATAAAATTGGTAGACTGAACCATTGTAGATAAAGTGCCAATTGAAACTCCGACCTCAAGGTTCGGAAACCCACACCGTTCCCACTACACCAAACCGCTTGCTCAATTTTCTCTAGAACTGTATGTTTTTCTTAGATTAACATGATGTTTGAATATATTACCCAGTTGTGCAGTGTTGTTTACTAATTTTCTGTACTTTTAGCTCCATGTTTCACTTTTTTTTATTTGAATATTCTGTAGGTTCAACCATTTTGGCCTGGTACAGCATCAATGAAATTGTATGTTCGTCATCCTGATACACCGGACCGTTTGGCTTCTATGCACTTCAGCATCGACAAACCCCATTTCACTGTACTTAAAATGGAACGCGGAGTATGTCAGTTTTTGTTTATATAGCTCAATTAAATAGTTGATTTGTTTAATTAAACTGTTGAGTTGAATACATTGTATATTTCCATGGTTGTGCATGTTCACACAGGCTGAATGCCCATTATGTGCATCTCCTATGCAATGGAATATCTTTCCTCCTAAACTTTTGATGCTGAAAAATCCAAAATTGACATTAATATTATTAACTATAATGCTTGTCTTCTGTAGTGTATAATTGAAAGGCATCTATAAACTTCACATTACATTATGGATTTCTATTTTTCTACTACAAAGCTATACAAATGTTAATATTAATATAGCTATTTATCATGTGTCTTTAAACAACAATCATGTGTGCTTTTTTTACTCTATAGACTGCTTTGAGTGTGAAAGTAGAGGGCGGTTTCGAAGGTCCAATGCATATAACATTCTTGAATTACCAAATAGGGCATGCACCTGTCAGGATCGAGAATCGTTGCCATGACGTATTCCTGAGGTTTAATCAAAAGTAAGTCAAATATCAGAATGACATTTTGTTTTATGATCAGCTTGGGCATGGATGGATCTTGTTTACTTTAATAACAATAATAATAACAATGCGACATTTATACAGCGCATATTGCAATAAACTGCATCTTCGTGCTTTAAGCTATTACTCCAGGTCACTGGATCAAATTCCCATGGAACAAATCCTCAGCTCCCTGGGGAGAACAATGATTATAAGCAGGGGAACCGGGGGACCAAACATCGGGGAGATCTGGCCCTCTGTTGGGGAGATCTGGCCCTTTGTTGGGGAGAAAAAAAAAAATGTATATGTATTTTCTACATATTAGTAGACCCCAAATAAACCGATTAAATAAGCCTTTGACATTCCTAAAGTCATATTTTTCAGGGGCTTCGCCCTGGAATCTGTTTGAGAGATTTTGAGCGAAGTCCAACCACGCCCACTTTTTTTGGACGGGGAACTGGGACCCCCACCTGGTCGGGCAAATCCTGGCACCACCACTGACTGTAAGCGGCTAGAATCAGGGCTTGGTATTATATCCTACCAGGTACCTGCTTATACTCCTGGGTGGAAAAAGACAAAGGTAGATAAAATGCCTTGTCTAGTGACACAAGCGACTTGCACAGCGAGGATATCGAACCCCCAAACATCAAGGTTGCAAGTCCGAGCTACAATCATTACGCCTACCCTTTCTACATTATTTTCCAATATATGGGATGTCTAATAGAGGACTTTCAAATGAGTACTATATTGTACACATAAACATATTCTTCAAGAAACGGGATTCGGACTTTATTTTTCAAATTTATTTTAAGTATTCTGTATTAAACACTACCATATTTCACACCTTAAGTTTAGAATACTACATTTGTTTCCGTCTTTAGATCTGTTGGTAGCATGACATTTGTGAAGCCTTCAGAATCCCTATTGTACACATGGGAGGATCCAACACTAGAAAGAATGCTTATGTGGAACCTATACAACAGAAATAAACAGTCAGTAAAAGCAGCTATTGACAGGGTAGGTACCACTCTAATGATGGGGGTTTTTATTTTTCTTTATTTTCTGCCTGAGGATGTGTCTGTTAGCAAATAATCATCATAACAATCTCATTCTTCTAGACATATTAGTAAAAATATCTTAAGTGTGGGTTTGATTGCAAATAAGTTTTGCACATTATTGATTAATTCTTCCATGATAATGGCCTCCTTGTTTTATAATAATGGTATGTTCCTCATCTTATGTAGGATGGGTTTGGGAAACTAGCAGTCAGTACTGAGAGCATCCGACGCAGCAGTCTACGTGGCGATGGTATGTATGCTGATGAAGATGACACAAGTGTCTACAGTACTGATGAAGGTAATTTGCCTGACAATCATTCTATTAATGATAGTATACTGATAGAAAATTATGCTCATGATAGTGGAGTTGAGTAACCTTCAATTCCTGTCTGTGATGCACAAGTTTTGTTCACAATCAAAATAGCTACACTCCCTCATTTTGAGATTTAGCTTATGTAAAGCATCGTGTGTATTTGTGTGTTTGTGTTATGAAAGTAATTGTCACCTATAAGTAGGACATTGATATATTTGCTTATTGTCAATTATTGGGGCTTGTGCGTGCCTAAAGAAAGAAAAGAAGGCGAAAAAAAAAAACCAATTATATTGCCCAAGACTTAAAAATCAGGGTTAGTCGGTGCCAGTTGACAATTTTTGTTTTGTTTTATTGGATAAACAAAAACGTAAAATCCTCCTGTTTATTTAGTTATTTTCTTATTCTGTCTTTACCGTTATAGCACTTTCAGTGACACAACACTCATCTCACTAGTGGATCACATGAATAAGAAAAAAATATAAAAATCATAAAATTTCTGTAGTTAAACAAAAAATACATAAATTTACAGAAATATAATAATAATAATAATAATAATGGACATTTATAAGGCGCCGGTATCCGCATGGTGCGCTCATGGTGCCAGAGCCAAGCAGGACAGAAAAAATACGAGAGTAGAAAAGTAGTGCGAGAAAGAGAATAATTAATTGAGGAAGTGCTGGTCAAACAGATGCTTCTTTAGTCTGGACTTGAATATAATGATATTTTCTGCTGACCTGATGTGTATGGGCAGAGAATTCCAGATTTTGGGAGCAGGAACAAAAAATGATTTATTTCCCCAGTTGTTCTTAGTATTATGTTCAGTTATAAACTTAAATATAAACAAAAGAACATTAAATTTTGATGAAGGCAAGAAAACAGATTTTGGTGGTCAGAGAGAATGCTATTCTGGCTCCTGATGCGATTCCTAGATATATAACTGTTTCAATTTATTTAATTTTAGAAGATGTTCCTGATGGAATGATTGAGCATCCTTTGATGAGCCGGAAAGAGAGATCCGTTGTGTATTGGGTATCGTACTTGGATGGGCTACAGCGCGTGTTCCTTATCACACAGAGTGCACGTACAGCTAAGAAAGCTATGCAGGTATCTTGCTTATCACACTTCAGAATGATTATTGACAACATTCTAAATATAATTATATGTGTATCTTCATATTTTTTTCTTTCTGGTTGATTTGTTTGAGTAAACTGAAATTAAAAACCTACCTCCTTTATCACTTTTCAAAGAGCGTTAGAATGATAAATTTTTAATACAGTAATAATTTTTTATGGGATTCTACAATTATTTAGATGGCCTGTATAAAGTAAACCTGACATTATATTAGCTAACCTGCTGAGGTTAAATTTTGTCTTGAGAATCTATAATGTGCTTTTAATTCTGTGTCGATCAACACTGTCAAATTTTCTTTGACTAAAACTCTTCTATGCCCATATATATATAGTCGTAATTTTGCTTACATATGATCATGATGTCATGTTATCATGACCATATGTCAGTGGCGGATTCAATGGGGGAGGGGGGCCTAGCTGGCCCGGACCCTTCTAAGTTTTTCAAAATTACAACAAAAATGGAAAAATTATAAAAATAGAAAATTATATTCAAATTGAAGTCCGAAAGTGCCATTTTGGGCCATCTAGAGGTGCCATAATCATAAATTTTCTTACCTCAGCCCCATTCATGGTGGGACTGGGGTGGGTTGACCTAACTGTTTGTGAAAGTCCCTCACTGGGCCCCCTCTATTTCGAATTCCTGAATCCACTGATATGTCATGTCATCATGACATTTAGGCATTTTTTGTCAAATAAAATGTGATATAGGGCTTTAGAAGTGTAATAAGTTATTACTATTATTGCCTGTAAAAACACAATAGAACAGGTACAAATGATAACAAATTAAAATACAAACTAAATCATTTTTCTTGTATATTTCAAGGCCAATGAAGCTGAACAAGCTAACCTTGAGTTGATAGTGTCTCTGGCCGGTCTTGGCATCTCTCTCATCAATGGAGCTTACGAGGAGGTAGCCTACATGAAGCTCTTTAGCAACCCAGCCCGATGGGAAGTGGAGAAGCTTGACAAGTGGAAGATGTTGAACATGGAAATGTCCGGAATCCTTGAGGATCGGTGGAAGAACGGTGATGAGAATATCAGTATTGAGGATGCAATCGATGTAAGTGAGAATGTGCCAATAAGGAATAGTAATTCTAATCTGTGTATTATAGGTAGATTGAAGATAGGTGGTTTCTTTTGCTGTCTCTTACACTTGTCTTGAACAATGGGATTTCATCTATCATTCATAAATAGACATCTCTTGATGAATTTCAACTTTAGCCACCCTACACTGTAAAGTATTTTATTTGCATGTGTGTAGAATCGTAAATAGTGCTTTAATACATTGGTTATATACTGAGACATATCTTAAGGTAAAGTTTGCGAAAAATTAGGCCCTTATTTTTTTTTGGAATGCACTGATGGATTTTTAGGCTGAAATTTTTGCATTGGCCTTATTTCATTCTGGCAACCATGTGATAAAAAGGGCAGTAGGCAGTAACTTCCAAGTAAATTAGCCTATGAATATGTTTGTTAATATTTGTTTTCCCACTACAGGCCGACTTAGTGAATATGCTGATGTCGAAGCCAGTAGAAGGCAAGCTAAGGCGCACGTCGCAGCCCGCCATGAGGCTGCAGTACCGTCAGTCAGAGCACTGTACAAGTATTCATTTTAAACTACAGAAATTACAGGTAATTAATAGAAATAACAATTATTTGTCATAGTAATGCTAGATGCAAAATGAAGTTTATTGGTGTATCATATTTCTCTTTTTTCCCATTTACTCAATGAATTTTGTGAAGGTCAATAAGTAATTACAGTCTAATTCTTTTTCTGTTTTTTTTCCTCAGCTTGATAACCAACTCCATGATGCCCTTTTCACAACAGTGCTTCGTCCGGCGCCACTTCCAAAAGATGTCGTGAAAAAGTCTGGTTTCAAACCCTTCCTAGAAATGTCCCTAATTAGGAGACAGTCACCGGAAAACAACCTAAATACTGTAAAGTAAGTTTTATGAAGATAATTATTTAATAACAAATTGACACTGTCCCTTTAAGAACAACTCTTAATCAGATGTAACGTCAATGTAATTTATTGTATGTATATTTGGCCAGGGGATCTAGAGGATAACCACATCTTGGCACCTCCCTGGCCATTTCCTGATTTGTAATATTTTTGTGCGGAATATGTTATAAATAAATAATTTAAGAAAATAGAGAAGACCAACCATCCCAGCACCCAAAACATCTTTACAATTTTATTATTGACATCATTTATTTTGATCTATAGGTACTTTAAGGTACTTTTACAAGAGGCTGTTGTGAAAATTGATAATGGATTTGTGCTATCTGTTCTTGACATATTTTCTGGATTCATGAAAGAAGAAGATGATGTAAGTGTCTTCATTTTTATTAATATAATCGCATCTTAATAGCAAAAGAAGAGCAGAATTTAATGAACAATTGTATTATTAGCAATAATTAAAGAAAATGTAAAGTAAAACACAAGTACAGCTTTTTTAACAACTGCACTGGACAAATAATATACATGCCAGGAACATCATTATTTAGATGAATGGTGGTCAATGTGTCAAAGGTGGTCTTTCCTGTGTGCCAAAACAAGTTTACATACAAACATACTTTTTTGAAATTTTATTTAGTCGCATATCATCAAATGGCGTGTCTTATAATTGGTGGGAAAATATTACGGGGCCTCTGCCAAGTGCAAGTTTTCTCGTCCGCTTTTTGCATGGGTTGGTATATGCTCAGAGGCCCCCCCTCCCCCCACTCATGCAATTGAGTGTACTAATGATAACATAGCAAAGCAAACATACATGTTATTTGTACATTGTCGCCTAGGTATATCTTCCCCGAACTACTAACCGTTGAGTCAGTGGTTGAACAGTGTATAACAAAGAAGTATTAAATGCTAGAATGTTACCCTGATTTGAGTATAAGTAGTCCCTAGCGCCCTCACCAACACCCAGTGCGACAAGTATACTCATCTCTGGCAGCAAATATGTTAATCAGTATTCAGGTTGCCATGTCAAAACCAACATCAGTGACCAAAACAAGAAAGTTGACTTTTTTGAAATATTCATAATCCCAACATTTTAAGCATTAAATTGATAGATCTTTTTACTAGAATCGACTTACTATTGCCAAAGTTATGAGCAACAGTATTACAGCTTCTCTGTACTAAAGAAAGTATACAATACTGTCACATTCGTATGCTAATTACTCAGTTAGCCATATAGACACAGTACGCTGGTTTTTGGGTGCCAAGCCTCATAAATATTATCTTGTATCTTTTTATCTGTTTTAGATACTCCCCCAGTTTGCTTTTTTTTCTGTATTCATATACAGTAGAACTCCTATAGAGGTGTTCCAAAGGAGGGGTTCTACTGTATCAATAAATTACCATGTTGGTATTATGATTCATAATTGATTTGTTTATTTCTGTAGGTTGTATATTTGAAAGCCGATATTGCTATGATCAAGAAGCCTCTTCATGAGTTATCCAGCAGTATATCAAACGACCTAAGCAGGCCCATCTACTTTGAATACTTCCACTTGGGTCCCATCAAGGTAATCCTTTTTTTTGTATTTAGTTTTGCTTTGTTGCCATAATGAAGAACACTTCTCAAAAATAGTACCTCCTAGGAAAGCCACTGTCAGGGACACTCTGATCAGATCATCATTGAACCAATTTATTGCTCACCTTGTTAGTTACATCTTTAATGGACTCACAATGGCCGATGACGTTGTTCATGTGATATTGTTTATTAATTTTCTCTATTTTATAGATATATATTTTTTAATTTAATACTTTAGTTGATTGTGAGTCTATCATTGAGTGGAGAACCGCATCGCACCACACGGTCACCAAAGTCATTCAAGAAAGACGTTTTCAAGTTCTTCATTGACTCAATTGGTTCCACTCTCACCGAGATCAGCGACGTTGAAATCAAGTAAGGCAGCAGATTTGAAAAACCATTATTTTAAAAATTCTTACCTGAAATTAAAGCTGTCTATGAAATTTCAGCTGAATACTGTATATTCTTTATTCTTTAATAAAGGAAAGAGTGTTGCACAACTGTTTAAATTGTAAGTGGTAGGAGGGGTTTATTTTAATTGCTACTAAGTTGGTGGAAAGGAGCTGGAGGTGGCACTAGGTCGCAAAATATGGTGATATAAAGTGATTTTGTAACTATTTGAGCACGACTTTTTTTTTGCTACTGACATTTTCATGGGGGGGGGGTCTTTTTTGGAGCCCCTGCACCCTATATGGCACTGCTCTTGCAGTTGCTAGGGGGAAGGAGGGGGTACTGTGCATGGCTTCATATTTCAGTGTCTAGATAGAGGGAATGGTGGTGCATAACAGCTTGATGGTGGAGGAGGGATGATACACATTTGGTAACTGCTAGATGGATTGAAGGGTGCTGCACAGTAGATTCAATTGGTAGTAGAGGGAAACTACACAATACACTGCTTCAGTGTGGTGAAGGAGTGGTGCAGTAGAACTGCATCAACTGCTTGGTAGATGAACAGGTGCTACAATTCTATTCAATATTCTATTCTATTTCTACATCAACTTCTATTTAACTATAACTCTGGTATTGTTTCATACATTGGTATCCTACATTACGATAATGATAACTTTTGTTCTTTTAAGACTTGGTTTCTTTGAACGGAGCAATGTGATGCTAACCCAGGAGGAGATGATTACTAAAGTGGTAAATCACTACAAGGGCCAGGCCATCAAGCAAGCCTATGTGTTTATCCTAGGTCTGGATGTGCTGGGCAATCCATACGGATTGTTCAAGGATATCAAGGAAGGCTTAGGTGACCTGTTCTATGAACCCTATCAGGTACGGACAAGAAAATGAAGGAAACTATATAAGAAAACAAGTTATAGTAATTTCAAAAGTTCCGATGAGGGCAGTATAATAGAGGCAGTAGGGTATATTGGCCATAACGGCCGCCCAGACAAAAATGATCTGTTAATCAGTCAGCCGAGTGTTTCATGGAGATCCTTACAGTACCTTGGTACATGGGTCTATATTATCCACTGCTTTCCTTGTGTTTCAGCTGAGGTAAATGGTGGGGGGGGGGATGGTGCAAATTTCAGTAGTGCACCATCTTTTTGATAAAACATAAGCCATTGGTCCGGCAATATAATGCATGTCTCTTTACTTAATGCAATACATTCTTCGGAAAAGAGTAGGGGATTGCCTCCTAGTGCACTGCCCAATTACCACCAGAAGGTCCCCACTGGAAATTGATCTTCAGAGTTCTGTGAGTTATCCTTGGCGTATTTCATACTGAAAAAAATCCAATCCATGTTGTGTGGATTTCAACAATACTGGTTTGAGGTTAAGCTGATCACTTGAAAAGCACAATATTCTAATTAAATTGGTACCAATAAAGATAATGAAATAGTCACAGATTGAATCAGCTCGATCCTACCATTAATGAAAATTAATTTTCTTATTTTACAAGGGTGCTATACAAGGGCCTGGTGAATTTGCTGAGGGTTTGGCTCGAGGTGTGGAAAGCCTCTTGGGACACACAGTTGGTAAGTTGCTCCTCATCCGGATAACATGCTTATAAAGTATGAAAATGAAAAGTATGTTGGAATACTTATCAGTGCTTCTACCTAACAAACTGTACATCGTAGTTGTATCTGAAAATCCACAGAGTAGGCTGAATTCAGGCTTTAGCAACTCAAAGGTGCCTTGTTAATGTACATACAGAGCCAATAAGCTACTCTAAGAAATACAATTGTGAGAAGAGCTCTGAAATATTACATACATTTGTTATCACTGTGATTACTACATAATACAGGATCACATGGATCGTGTATATCTGACTTAAGTCACCATGATATTCTTTTTAGATGGGTTACTGTGCAATAGTGACGATCTTGGCACTATTTGCATATTTAAATACAGGTAGATATATTATTGCCCGATTAATAACTCATCATGATTTGCTTTTTTTGAATACAGGTGGAGTTGCTGACTCTTTGTCAGGGTTCACATCAGGTGTTGGAAAGACATTGGCATTCCTTACCTTTGATGAAAGCTACCAAGAGGTAATGATAATTGTAGATATGCATTTTAAGTGCACATGGAAATTGAACTGAAATAAAATTGACTGGAAATATTACATCACACAGACAGAGTGCTAGGCCTACTTGTGGTGCTACCTTCCATGGAATAGAAATCACAGCATTATATTTCTTCTATAATACTTATATTTCCCATTAATTGATAACTACCTTGATTAACTAGGCCAATTACAACTCTTGGTAAACATTTTGGTCAACATTGTTAGACCTACATTTGCTGCAAGATTTCTAACATTTATAATTTCTCCACGCTATCAAATATGCGATAAATGTGTGTGATATGCCCGTATACGGGCATGATGATTCTATTTGTCTCATAAAATAGTGAAAGTGTGAAGAAAGCATCTGGGTTTGCTATGTTGTAGTTTTACCTGAAAATTCAATGAAAGAAAAGTAGTTAAAAAAAATGTATACACCTTATTTTTGTTTTACTTTCAAAGTTTTTTCAATGAATATAACTCAATAATTTCATGCATATTTCAGAGACGGCTTCGCAAGATGAGACGTAAACCTAGCAGCCTTCCACTCAGCATCCTATATGCTGGTCAAGGCTTTCTCATGGTAGGCATGACATTTGAAATTACATTCATACTATTTATTTGGTACTCACTTCCAAATTCTACTTCCTGATATATTGGATGGGGTGCGGTAGACACATACGTAAACTTGGCACTCGCAGGGAAGTAGTAGAAACTACTGCAATCCTTACCAGGTGGAATTAGCCAATGAAATGTTATTACCTAATTAATATTTATGAGGTATAGTTAAAAACGTCTATAGTCTTGTGTATTTAACTGGATGCAATGATGCTTCCCTGACATACATACATCAAAATAATATTTACAAACATGTGCAATGACTTAATGTGAAAGGTGACATGTTCTTATAGAGTGCAATGAGATGGACATACAATTTTATTATTTTTTACTGACCAATATTGTACTGATCACAATATTGGTATAAAGTAAATCTACATAATTATCTCACTTATAAACTACCCAAATCACTAATGGTTTGTGTAATTTCACATGTTTTTATTTATTAATGTAGGGTATAATTATGGGCCTTGTTGGTGTGGTGTCAAACCCAATCAAAGGAGCTCAGATGGATGGTATAAAGGGTTTCTTCAAGGGCATTGGCAAAGGTATACTAGGCCTGTTTACACGACCTCTAGGAGGCATAGTAGATGCTTCGACATTCATTCTAGAGGGCATTGAGAGGTCAACAGAAGTTGGTGAAGATGTCATGGCTCGTAAGCGACTCCCAAGGTTTATCAATCCAAATGTGGTAAGCAAAATTTCACAGATAAATTTATTAATGTGGGTTGACATCTTGAAATGCAGTGGAGTTAAATAGCTTAGTTGTTAAGATGCTTGCCTTCTGATCTCAAAGGCTTCGGGTTCAGTTCCTGTTTGTGTTGTAGGATATTTCTTATGACCAAAACCACTCCACTCCATGAGCCTCACATTGAGATTTAGTTTGTTTACAGCCTTGTATGTTTGTGTATGTTTGTGTTTGTTTTGTGAAAGGGATTGTCATCTACACGTTTGGCAATCCTTGGTGCATGTGTATTATAGAGATGAAAAACCCGCAAATAACCCAGATTTCTCAAAACTGCAGTGGACATTTCGTCAATTGGACATTTTGCAATCCAGACATTTTAGGTTGCAAATTGTCCACTGTATAAGATAACATATTTTCACAAACCAGATATTTTTTTCAAACTATATATATTTTTACAAACCATATGAATGTCTACAATCATGTCCACTGTATAGTTTTGGAAAGTTCAAAGTTCAAAAATCATTGCTACAAATATTTCAAACACTGTTTATCATACATAATTCCAATCAGCCTTTCATTTGAGTTGTTTGCCTAGAACTCTAGGCTGTAAATGCTATTATGAATAATCTATTGCCTATACTGGTCAAGAAAACTCTACGGCAACTTGCAAATACGCTTCCTTGGTTTCATAAAAATTGTCATTTTTCATTCCTTGAACAGATCCAAAATATTATCCGAACCGACCCCAACTGAACACAGTTTACATGATAACACAAATAGATTCAATATTCTAAACAATTATAAATTTCTTTAAAATAATTCATTATGCTTGTAGGCCTACCACAAAACAAACAATTGTAAGGCTACCAGCTACTGTATTCAAATAGACTACTATGCAGTAGCAAATATCTTGCTTACCAGTGTTCATCTACACAGCAATCCAAGTAACTTGCTTAATGTTAAAGGCCTGTCAATGTCCAAGGTCTATCATAATATAATTAAAGGTATTACAAATGAACAACTAACCAAAGATTGTGCCTCCTATCACAAAACTAAGCCAGTACAATAACATAACTATACTCAGACTGCACAACAATTGGCTTAACTGCCCAGCAGTTAACAGCACACCTGGATTTGCATAATAAACAAATTAACAAGCTCTCTCTGTCTGACTGGATATTTAGGGTAGCAAATAGCACTAATACATATATTTTGTATTGTATTGACTCATTCAGCTCTTACAGTCCTATGGCTATTATTTCAGTCGATATGTATATAAACTTTTAAAATAGTTAAGGCTTAGTTGTCATGGCATATCCCCTTATCTCAAAACCATGGGCTCATTCACTGCATGTGATTGGATATTCAATCTAAACCTATAGTCAGTTAGTACAAGAATATTTTGTCTATCTGATGTGTCCATTTTTAAGTCTATAGATTATTTTGAGTTGTTTTGCTAACAATCTACTGTTGTAGCTATTATTTTATACTGATTAGTTTCATATTTGAATGTTTCTTCTTTTTTTGTTGTATTCCCCAATGGGGAAAGCTACTATTCATACTAGACTTATCTGAGTGTTTGGAAAGAATATACAGTTCTCCCTCTAATTAAAGACCCCTCCCATTTAAACCATCTCCAATTAAAGACCACTTTAACAAATGTCTTTTATCTTTTTTATTCTAATTAGAGACCAAAGCAGCTAAAGACCATAAAAATCCCGGTCCCAAAAGTGGAGACCTGTAACTTCAAAAGGTTTTAATGTCTTTGTTTCTGTTATTTAAGGGACTCAAGCCATACTCTGCATACCAAGCCATTGGAAACGCAATCCTGTACAACGTTCGCCGTGCTGAGGTTTATAAAACTGATATTTACTTAGCTCATGCTGTAATTCATTCTGATGATGGCACCCCTGATGTCGCAGTTGTGACAAACAGGTAAGGACACTTTGTGTGTATCTTAAAACAGTTTTTTGCAGACATGTAAATGCAGTTCAACCAAATGTATTTTAAGGTAAATACTGCACTTTGAATGTGCTCATATCTAAAAATTTCATGGGCATGGACACTGTGATAGGTTGTGATAATCTTAACAGACGACAAATGTGCAAGAAATATGAAGTAAAACAAACTCTATTTCTCTTCTTTACTTTCTGCTCTTTGACATGAATATTAGTAGGTCATTTCTTAATTACAAGATATTACAAGCGCCACTAACTACAACCTTAACATCAGCGTTTGTTTTGAGAACCTCCTCATCCAGGGTGGTTCTTGCTGGTAGATCTCGGAAAAGAACTTAAAACAGAGGTCCACTGTAGACACTTGACTCATGTGCACTTTAAAGAATTCATTGCATATTTCGGAAGAAGAGGCATCTACCCCGATGCTATCATTATCATTAAAAATAATTACCAATAAACTTATTAAAATATTTAGAAGAAAAAAAAGATATCAATAATGCCCCAACTAAATTGCCATCAATATTAACATTAAAAATTGGGATATTGAATTGCAAAAGTTGAACTATATAAAACTACGTATCATTCTCTACTATCAATTAATTAGTATAAATATTATTACCATGTCAATAATCACGGTTATTTAAAAGAAAAAGGATAAGAAAAGGCAGTATTACGTATTGTCGACGGATCTAAATTGCACATTATTTACATTGCCTGAGCACAATATTAGGGATGGGCAATCAAGATACTTTCTGATCCGACAACCTTTTTGTGGCATCAGATGAGGGGTCCAGGCCTGTCTGATGGATGCGCCACTACCGGTTCAAGTTCAATAGTTTGAAGTGTAATGGTCTTCTTTCTTATTCATAATTGTTTTTTCATGTATCAGGCAACTTATGAAACTTGATAAATGTCGTTGGTATGGCGGATGGGATCTAGAAGAATCAGACTTGTTCACTGACATTACTTCAAACCCAACAGTTGAAGATCAAACGATTATGTTTAATATTAAGGTAAACACATTAAATGTGTACTGACACTTTCATAACACAGTGAAATATGAATTATTCTATTCTGAACTGATTTTCATTAGTGAATTTTGTGGTTATTAGATGCTTGCTTTCCAGTCCCAGGGTCATGGGTCGCTATATTGTCGCTACAGTGTTTTCAGTGCAATCGCTGTAGTGCGTAGCAGTCCCTGACAGAATCGGAAATGCTCCATGATTCGTAGCGATTGTATGGAAACGTAGCTTTACAGGATTTTTTTTTTCATGACCAAAACAACTCCTTAAGCCTCATAAACTGAGACTCAGTGAGACTCAGTTTATGTAGAGCATCTTGTGTGCATGTTTGTCTTTTGCAAGGATTGCCACTTACTAAAGGGATTGAGAATCAATGTTTGAGAATCAGAGCTTCCTAACCTAGGATGGGGTGGGGTGACCATCATAAAAATGTGCACACTACACACATATACTAAAGTTTGCTATTGGTCTGTCCTTGGCCCTGAGCCTAAAAATGTAATTATTAATTATTAACTATTATATAATATGATGTTCTGCTTTATTGTGGTGTGACATTAGTTTTCCTTATATTTTGGAGGTTTATAAAATATATTGAAATTGAAATATTATTTAATGTAAATAACATTGCTCTCATTTTCCTCAAAATGTATTACAGGATGAGGACGGGGATGTTGCAACAAGAGATGTTTTGTGCAATAACCATGAAGTTGCCAAGGTAAATAAAAATTGGTGATTCTTTTTCATGTAAAGCTTGTATAGATTGCCTTAGCTATCTCGTTTAGGCAATATCAGTGGCGTAGCAGAGGAACAATTATTAGGTGTCTGTTTCCTAAGACATGCGAGTTAAGTGAGAATTTAGGCTGGGGGACAGGGGCCTCCAAGGGCCCCTGGTCGGGCTACGCCACAGATATATATATATATATATACATATAAAAGCTACAGATATTCAACAAATTTGGGTGAATTTTTAATATTTGATGGGCATTCATGCCACTGTAATATGACTTCATAATTGTTGTAATGTCCAAACAATAGTCGATGTTGCTTCCACATAGGCCTACAATCACAATGAATTCCAAACATCATGAGGTTAATCTTATCCATGATAACTAACTAGGCCTAGACCTTGAACTAGGCCTAATCGACCTGCCTTTGTCTTGGACTACATCATCATTGCTATAAAATCATTTATGAATAATAACAAATAAAAAGTTTTTACATACCTCTTTGCTCACCGGCATACAACAAAGGCCGCTCTACTTTTCACATGAAGTTAGGCCTTGCCTTGCCAGTGACACAATTGGTTTGATGGTTTTTTCAAAGCAATCATGCCGTATTAGTCCTGTTGTACGCTTATGCACATTACTAATAGGCCTAAATCATTAAATATTATTCAAATCTGATTAGTTATACTACAGAAATCCAAGGTCTGCCAATTGTACTGGAGGTCCTCTCTTACTCTGAGTTCACAATACAAGGACTATGACATTGAGTACTGCTGGACTTGGACGTCATCGACGTCCTATTACTTGTTCTGTAAAAAATACTTTGTGAGGTCCATGTACTGGACAGATTCGTTTATCATTGCGAAGATAGCTTTTAGGTAATAGACAAATGTCAACCAAGTCACTTATAATGTAATATCTGTGTGATATACTAAATGTCACTGTTATAGTTACTTTGTCAAAATAGGGATGTTCTGCAGAGGTCTGTTATAAAGAGTGTGTGTGCAGATCACCAAACATCAAAACGAACGAACATCACAAACGTAAAAAAAAATAATAAAAAATAAATAAATAAATATATATATATATATATATATGTATATTATATCCTTTTGAATCATAGTTTGAAAAATACATTACTAGAGTGTTGACTCAAAAGCATTTTTGAATGTCAAAAATGAATATTGACAGAATCTATTCCCCTGTAAAATTGTCATTACAAATGCACAAGTCTAGTTGAATGAGAAGAGATACTAAAGTGGGCAGTAAGTTGTCACATGATATTCTTCCACCCAATCATGGCAATGCTTCTAGGCTTATTGTATTCTTGTATTGTATTGTATCAAATATCCATTATTTTGGTAACTACTCCATCATTGTGAACAAAACAAATAATTCTATTTTTTACGCCTTCATTCTACAGTGGCTGAATGGAAAGCTGAAACAGGCAATAGACCTACAACGTTTGGAGATGATTCAGACCGGAGTGTTCCTCCAGAGCTCAGACGCTTAAAAAATGACATTATCTCACCATAGGAATATAAGTATAGAATATTAAAAATGGTTTTTTTTAATTCAGTGCTTTTAAGTTAAATATTTGACATTTTGAAACTACACTTAAAGAAGTGTTTACAGTGTTCTGAATGAGTTTAGCTTTTGGCAAATGTATGTATTGGAAAAAAAAAATATGTCATTATATTAATTATCAAGTTACCTGTAGTGTAGTAAGTATACTTGATATATTCATCTTAGCTTCTTAAGTTCATATACATTTTAACTGTTGTAAAGCGCCTTGAGGCAGTTTCTTTTGTGGAAGGCACTATAAAAGTATGTGACCATTGACCATTGTGTTGAGCGAATTTATATTTTCAAATATATGTATATTTGAAGTGTTTATTGAAAGTATTACGATGTTATTATTGCATGATAGATAAATATTTTGTTACCAAACATTTTAGTGCATACACCTCTATAATATTTTATAAGCGCTCTTTGTATCTCATTAACCAGTATGTATGCTATTTTCTTAGCGTGGTGCAATATTTCACAATGATACTTGTGAATGCATCAAACCATAATTAACAGAGTTCTTCGTGGACTTGACTACACTTGTGCTGGTATGGGTTATTATGGTTAGTAGAGGTAAATAATGGAGTCCCATTTTAAATTTGTAGAACTTATATTTTAACTGATAGCTAACACATATTTTGTTTATGTATATTTATGTAAGCATAGTTTTTATACAGTATTATCTATAAGAATGGAGGTTTATGAGTACATGACAATTTATAAATATTATTGTACTTAACTCTTTCCAGAAGAAGAATATAATTTCCTTCATCCTCCTTTTCCCTAATGTGCAATATTTTTAGTATTTGATAAATGTATGCACCTATGTATTGAGTAATCGTAGACTATACATGTGGTGTTATGGGTTAATGTGATGATATGTATTCTATAACACACATTCGCACACTTTCTTTGATGATGTGATTCACTAACCCTCCAGCTAACAATTTTACTAACATCGTACCATTTAGTATACAGAACTTTCTGTAGAACTATAAATACGTATTTATAACGTAATTTCACAACTAAATATTAAACAATACAACATTGCTGAAATGTTGTATTAACGTCGTTCTCTGATATACTTAAGCACTACGTTCACAAACACTATAATAACGTGTTGTGTTTTCTGGAGATGTATTTCAAACTATATTAAATGTTCTTTAGGTGAATTTATACAGGACTTAATTGATTTTACATTTTTTTTTTAGTAGTAGTAGTAGTTTTATGTTAGATGGAACTTTTTAGTAAAAATATTTTATTTAAACTTAAAGAATGACATTGTAATTACTAATTTTATTTTGTATCATTGTTATTGTTTATTAGTAGCAATATGCTACTGTTTTATTATGGAAAATGTAATTGTTTGGTTTTATTTATATTTTATGCACCGAGTGTTGTTGTAAGGCCTACCGTATTATGTTCGACAGATTTAGAGATAGAAAAGTATGGGCCACTTAAAAGTGCAAACATATGTTGATATATTTTAGATAACTTTAGCTATGTGTACATCTTTATCAAGAAAAATAATTATCAAGTATTTTAAAGTAAGAAAAAGCTTTGGCATTTGCAGCATTTTCATGGATAATGCAATAAATGCCAGGTTTTGGGGTGGTTTTTTTTGTGTAACTTACCCTTTAAACAAAATAGTAAAACATTTGCCGTTTATAACCTCTTCAAACTCGTGATCCAAAATGTTTATAAACAAATATTTCCAGTTTTAAAGTTGGTTCTCGATTTTAATAAATGCAGTTAATGGAACACCTTCGGGGCCAGAAAACTGTCCATTTAATAGGGGTGTCCTCTGAATAGGGGTACCTATTTAGAGAACACCAACCGAAAATATAGGTTCTTCACAATTGATGTTAAGTTTATAGTTTAAAAGTGTGAAAGAAATATAATTGATTTGTGTCTATTTTATGTTGTGATAGGATAAACAAAAAAGTATATATATATATATATTGTCCATATATATATCCATTGTCAATAACCATCAAACTTTAATGGATAATTATGTATGTTATATTACCAGCTTTTTGTTAGAAAAATATGTTGTTTAGGGCTATGTTGAAGAATGGAGTTATTTTAAATTTTTTAGTTATATTGTCAAAGTGAAAGAAAACATCCATTCTAGGTCTATTTAGTAATGTACAGTATTAGTTTTTAAATTGCAGATGATTACTAACATATTTCCAAGTACTGTTCGAAACAAGAGGACATCGATAGTTACCAGAAGTTCAAATATTAATGTTGCTTATTCACATATAAATATGGAATAAAAATTATATTATACTATAATTATATAATGTGCGTGGTTAGTGTCGTTGCTCATTGAAGATGTATTGTCCCTTGAAAATGATAAAAAAAATCATAAAAAAGTATTTTTGAAATTAACTTGCACATGTTACAGTAACATACAAATTATTGTCTTGAGCATAGAAATTACTGAATTTTAAAAAATGTGTTACCTGATTTTATACTGAAAGTGTTTCTATTATTGTTATAATTATTATTTTTTAATATTTTAAATACAATATCTTTAAGTTGATAATTGGTATGTTACCTTAAAATGAGCAAGTTAATTTAAAAAATAAGTTTTTGTAAATTTTTTATGTTTTTTTTGGGGTTTTTTTTTTTATTTGGTATTTTGCATGGTACAATACATCTTTAATGGTTTCAATGTACCTCTAGATTAAGATTTTAATTATGGGTTCACAAAATGAACCCAAATTACGTTAATGTATTTGTTTGAATATATTTTGGTTCCTATTAAAGAAATAGGAACTAATGCAATCGAAGTAGTGTGTGTGTGTGTGTGCTTGCTTGGGAATGTTGTGCTGACGTCATCACAGTTTGTAAACAGGAATTTATATTTCGGTATCTTTTATTCAATATAAAACATGTAAAAGTAGTGGCAAAAGAGAATTCCTTGCCAGCCAATGACTGAATTGAGGACATTTTTTACATATGCCAACCAAAGTCAAATTATGCATCTGACCAGACCATCACAAAAGTTAAAAAAAGGTGGAGGGGCAGCAGTGACCACTCCCGAGGGTCGCACAACCCAGGCCATACCGTCCAATCCAGGAGGGCAGTACACAACTTACGACCTGGGAACAAATTTGTTATTACAGAAACATGGAAAAAAAAAAAAAAAAAAAAACCCTTATGAATTTCTACATACATTTACAACTGGCCTATTGCTTTAAAACATTTTTTGGAGAAACATTAAATCGGTATATTGTGACACTAGTTGGCTCAGCCTTAATTCACGAGGAAACCGTTTATTTTTTTTTTCAAGAAGCAATCATATTTTCAAAACAAAATTTAATGACAAGAAAGATCGACGTTTCGGGTCCATCATGGAACCATTCTCAAGATCAAGTAAATTGAAAAAAACTAAAATACCAAGCAGTGACAGGAAGTAATTTAATGAAAAGAAAGATCAACGTTTCGGGTCCATCATGGAACCATTCTCAAGATCAAGTAAATTGAAAAAACTAAAAAACAAAAATACCAAGCAGTGACAGGAAGTAAGTAATTAATTTACATATCAATAGGGCCTACTGTGTGGAGCTAAGCAATAATTAGCCCTTCTTAGCAGATTAACTAGATAAATTAGCCCTTCTTAGCAGATTAACTAGCAATCATATTATTATGATATTAATATGATTGCTCACTGGCTTGGAACGAACTTCCTAAAGCTCTATCCAGACTCAATTTGATCTTATATGTGACATGCCTAAATATGGTTATAATGACATCGCATCATGACAATTACAGCAGTTATGTTGTAAACAAATTTGGTAATCTTGACAGAGCTTAAGCAGGGGAGGCGCTAGCGGGGATCGAGAAGGGCAAAGGACCGCCGTCGGGGGCCCCCTCCTCACATATTCGGGGAATTTCCAGCAACGTATACTCTCGAGCGCCGAAAGTACAATTCAAGCATGCCATAATAATAGGCTGTCAAATTTTAGGGATTAAAAACTGCTTAGTGCGAGCAGTGCTACAGTATGTGCGAGATGTACACTATTACGATTGTATGGGTTGCACGCGCCAGCTCTTCCCCGACAGGGGGCTGGTACCTCCGACAGGGGGAATAGTACCTCTGACATGGAGACTCTTTAACTTGCATGGTTTTCTATCAAATTATCCTTTTTAAGTAAAGAACCCCACAGTTAACACAAAATCCTATTATTTTTTTAATATAAAAAACATTTCCCGACAAATTTAATTGTTTCCCCGGCCGGGGGTGGAGGGAGGTGGCTAGTCTTCCCCGACGATTCGTCCCAACGTTCGGGTGTGGAGCTTGGGGAATTCCTGGCGCCGCCACTGAGCTTGGGTAACCATCTGTGAATGTCTTCAAGCCGGTTTCGACACATGCGTGAATTATTTTAATTTCTGATTGTTTTCCTTTACTCTGTGGTTTTAACAATAATTTAAAAAAAAAAAATCCTCCATGATTTAACCTGGGTCATCGATTTTTAGTGCAAAGACGATTTAGCATTACCATTCACAACTAAGTACTAAATCGATATTCCCATTATAAACACAATAGACAATACTCCAGGGGCGGATCTGGGTTATGATCAGAATAGAGCATTTTATATCATTACATCGCCTAACATAAAAGTGATTTCCTATCGGCATAATGAACAATCAGCATTAAGATAAAGCTTTGCTTAAAAATAGATTGGTGTAAAAACTGATTAATTAGTATTAAGATTCGTTAGGGTGTTGAATATTTTTTAAAAGCATTGCATACATCTGATGATATCTCATTCAATATGCCAGTGGATAAAGAGTACTTGAATGTAAGTAAAACAGGACGTGTAAAACAGCCATTCAAGGTCAATTTATTAATGTACAATATCAAAAAAGTATTGTTCGAAAGTAACAAGAACACCATAATTACCAGAAGCCCAAGCAGTCAGTCTAAAGTCTAACGATTTATTTCACTTGTCCTTAAAAAAAACTGCTATAAGTGACGTGACAATGGAAGACAGAATGTGATACGTTTTAAATTATATAAAACAATTCGCCCTCCAATCCGAGACCACCTTTGGGACCTGGAAATTTGGAGTAGTCTCGGGTTTGGTCTCCACTTGGAAGGTTAGATTTGTGTTAAAAGATTGAAGATTGTCCTTTGGTTCCCCGAAAATGTGGTTTCGAATTAACGGGTCTCAGAATTAGAGGGATCGCAAATTAAAGGATGCACTGTATAAACTTACACAATTGTATTGTTCCTTTTTAATGAAGATTGTTGAAATAAATGTGGTGGTTACGCCACGAAAGAAAGAAAGAAAAAAACTACATTAATGTATTTGTTTAAAATATTTTGAATATTTTTTTCTTCGTAGAAGTCATTTTTTAAAACTCTAATCTGTTTTTGAGAAGATAAACATTACAAGGGAAATTAAAACAGCTGTTAACTTCTCTGTAACTATCGCATTTTAGTCTGATTTGCAGTTCGATTAGTTAAACGTTTCCCCCTCCTGTAGATATCAGTGAATGCATTTTCAATTTCGCTAAGACGCTGGGTGATTCTCATCGTCAATTCGACTTGTAGACTCTGCGGTTTAGGATTTTTGCAGGAGATGGAAGTCGGTTGTTATTGGAGTTGAACGAAATACATGTATTAGTAGTGCACATTGGGGATCTTCTTTGGATTCAAACGCTTTCTTTACAATCCCTTCACAGTCTGTTTGCCGTTCTATGAATCCATTTGACGGAAGTTGTTCACATAAGCGTTTACTGTAAATATATTGACTACTAATGCATTTTAAAGTTAAATATTCAAATCCATTTACTGTGGTTGGATGTGAAGTCCCATTCACCCACGCAATGCCAGTTAAAACTTGCGCTAACCATACTCGATGCCTTTCCAATCAGTGAGAATAGTTATACGGATAAATTGTCTAAAAATTAACAATGAGTGAATAAAAAATGTTTTGAAGCCTTTTAAACAAACATTTCATCTCTTTTAAAGCTTACTACCATGCCAAGGCTGTCATTTGAATATGCACTTTTAGGCACTTAGATGAAAGTATTTGGTTTGCGGGATCCAACAATTTTGTAATCAGTGGGGTCAAAATACCCTAATCCAGCTGGATCCCATCTTCTACCCACAAATCACTTTGCCCCGTCATTTTTGGGATTTGGAACCTCACTATATAGGCCTATCAAAGTTTCTTCTAAAATATTCAGAGGACAGTAGCGGCATTGACCAAATTATCTGAATCCGTTTAGCCTGGGTTATACCACCAGATATAATTTTACCAAACAAGCAGGCACACATAAGAAGATGTTCAAATTCATTTTAAAAAAAAGTTGTACATTGTGTCACAGAGTAGGAAATACATTGGACATTAGTAAATCTACCATTTCGTTGACGCATGGCATCGGCATGTGCACATCATGAGGCGAAGGAAACGACATAGCCAGATCCCAGACGTCAATAAAGTGTACAGGAACGTCTGCATAAACTTCTCTCAAGATTCGGTTCATGTCCCAGAATACCCAGTGATTACTTTGAACTCGGGTTTGAAAAATTTTGTGATCACGTGGATGAGAACTTCTAATGGCAACTTTAACGTCATTACATCGATTCAAAAGTCGAACGATAGCTTCTTTGATGTAAAACATGTGGTCGCGATAAGAGGCCTCTGTCCAAGCACCATAGTGGGCCCAGTGTCCTAGGATAATAAAGTATCTGCATTCAGAATCGCTAGGCAATCCATCGATTAGTTCGGGCTCAAATACTTTCATTTCAGGCTGGAGGGGAATCTTGCTGCCGAGGCAAACAGGCAGACGGTTATTGTGGAAATGGATAACAAAATTTGTGTAACTTTCATTAAAGTACATGCCTTTCCTTTTCCTCAACCCTGTACGTCCTAGTCTATTATTTATTGACTCATACCATTGCTTGACTGTCGAGTCTCCTATAATGTGAACCTCGTGCCCAGCCAGTGCTCTGTAAAGGTCACTAGAAGACCATGTTTTTGTCTTGCATTCCAACGACTTCCACTTTCGATTTTTCCAATAACCATTAGAGGGGGGCTTCGGTCTGAAACCAGGCCGGCACGGCCTAATTGATAGCTTTGTTGTTTTTTTACCTGGTATTGATCTCCGAACGTTGAGTTTGATGAAAACTGGTACATTGTTTTGGTAAAATGGGCTGTGGAGAGAAAAGAATTATTATTTTGTGTAGTGAATCAAAGCAAAAATTTCCTTTCAGAAATCCTTTATCGGCTGTAAATGTCATTGTCCCTTAAAAAGTGTCAGAAATTCAGTCTCAAAAAATTAACGTGCTCATTTTAAAGTCACATAAAATCATTTTAAAGTCACATAAAATTATCAATTGAGCTCCCAAATCATACCTATAAAAGTTTACCCAGATGTTTACAATGGATCATGGTGTTTTTATACTTTGTGTCTTGTTCTGTCCTTTTTAACTAAACTTCTTCCTCACAAACTATTAGATTAGAACGCGTTCTAAATAAATTTTGTATGTTTGAGGTTTTGTTTTCATGTTTTGAACATTTAAAATGAGCAAGTTGATTTCAAATTTTTTTTAACTATTTTATGAAGACAATGCATTCAATAATAACCATTACTGGTAATAGAGTGATAGAAAAGGAAGTAAAAATGAGAAGGTTATTGGTACCGTTGAAAGTATGCAGTGAATTTATATTCACTTAAAAGTCGATCTACAGGCTTAATAATAGCATTCATATTTTCGTAAGACTCCATGTATGTAAGTTCATCACAGGTCAGCATTGATGGTTTATCACAAATGAATACCGTATCGCCCATTCCTTTAGGCCCTCTCCCATATTCACATTTTGATGGGATTGGACCTCCTCTGTGTACTTTGCATTTGCTTTCAGCAAATTTTCCTCTACCTCTTCTATATGTACCTAACCACAAGAAGGAATTTTCGTCAGGCCTGTAGATTTCTCGTATCCAGTCTAAAGCTTCTGCAGTGTAGACCAAATTTAAATTTAAAACCATGTCCCCGGCAGAACCGAGATAAAACTGAAGAAGGTAGGTTCCATTCTTGAAGTCTGTAATACGACCAGAAGTGCTAAAATGTTGTTGTCGGTCGTGTAATATCGCGAACCAGAAATCGCCGCCACGATTCCGTGGTTGATTCCGACTATCAAACGCTTTCACAAGAAAACTAATGTACTTTCCTGTTAACAGTTTGTCTCTTGGAGTTAAAAGTTGAATACGAGTGTGTTTTGCACTCGTCAATGTACGACTTTGAAGATCCAAAAAGTTTGTGGCTGCACTTGAGCTTAGTGATTTGGCGTTTAATTTGGCGGTTGAGTTGTTAATCAATGTTCTTAATTCAGTTACTAAACTGTGTTTTCGTGTCAAAACACCTTCCTTGTTGTATCTGAGCGTCATATTATGAACAATGACAACCTATAACAGGAATGAAAACAATTTTAAGTGTTAGAAAAAAGAAATATGAAACATATATAATATGTATATATGTATATATGATTGCTTTAAATCTTTTAAAATGTTACGTATTATAGTATGATATTTATAATTGTATATTCAATAGGCCTATAGCATTTCTTGTGGTAAAACACCTGGCCCTAATAATGTTCCAAATTAGATATTGAAAGAGCATGCTCTGACATTATCAAAGCCCTTGTGTAAAATCAACTCGGTCTACGTGAAGGTTTTGTGCCTCAGATTTAGAAAAGTGCCAACTTAGTCACAATTACTAAAGTTAATCCACCTAGAAATATTGAGTGTGATCGTAGACCAATCTCACTCACCCCAACCACTGCCAACATTGCAGAAAGCCTAATTGGGGAACACTTATGGAACCAAGTAAAATTTAATATTGCATGGACTAGAATTTTATTTGAATGCTATGATGCTACTGATATAAGTAATGGATTGCGTATATTACTTGTCGACTTTAAGAAAGCCTATGACTTATGCTATGTTCTCACACGGCAGCTAACGGTTAGCACGATCCGGATCCTGCTAACCGTTAGCTGCCGTGCGTCCATACGAGAAAATCCCGATCCGGATACCAAAAATATGATGATCGAATCACTGGCCAATAAGAAACTGGAAATTGTAAACGCGTATGTGTAATTGGTTGATGATAAAAACGCGCTCAACTTGCTAACCGATAGCGCTTGCTAACCGTTAGCGGTATACGGATACTGCTAACGGTTAGCGCTAACCGACGGGCGTTCTCACGCAGGTGCTAACGGTTAGCGCTTAATGTTAGCTCCTGATCCGGATACTAGGGCTCTCGTGAGAACCAGGCTAAAATTGACCACAATATTATTATCAATAAGCTTCAGTCTCTTGATGTTGATCCATACATTGTTGCTTGAGTTAGTTCGTTTATAAGTAATAGGCTTAACAGGGTTAAATTGGGTGATAATCTTACTGAATTGCTTTCACCGAATGAAGGCTCAGGCCAAGGTACTTGGTTGGGTGTTATTATATTTCTTATTTTTATTAATGACCTATATACAGACAATTTTAAATTTATGGATGATACCACAGTAACAGATAGAATACCTAAAAATCAAATAAGCAATTTACAGAATGATGTCAACCTTATTGTTAATTGGTCAGAAAACTTAACGCAAAAAAACCCAAAGAGTTTGTGATAAGCTGTAAAAAAGTTAAAACAGAATTTGAACCACTGTATTGAAGATAGTAACATTGATCGCGTTTCTGTAACTAAATTGCCTGGACTTAACATTCAGCAGCAATTTATCTTGGCAACGGCATATTGATAATATTAAGAAGTGCAGTTCTAAATTATTTTTCCTTAGACAACTGAAACGGTCAGGTGTTGATAGCCATGCATTCGTCCTGTTCTATAAACGGTCATTAGACCTGTATTAGAATACGCAGTATGGGCAGGAACATTATACCAAGGACCAGTCTTACCAAATTGATCGCATTCAGCATAGCCTGCAAAATAATCTTTTAACGAAACCTGTACAATTGATGATAAACTTCTTATCAACAACCTGTGCAGGGGATACTTCACCAAGGTTAAACTTCCGGGGCATGTACTGCATAATTTGCTACCTGATAAAACATAAACTATAATCTTCGAGCTCCTAGAGAGTTTGAGTTGCCAAATGTCAGAACAAAGCGGTCTCGTGAATTTATTTTAAACCATGGAATATTTGCCAAATGGTGAAATCTCCCTCGGCAGATTTCTTCCCCTTCCTTCCCTTCCCTCCCTCCCACAAAATAAAAAACTTAAATAAATAAAATGAAATATTCTGTAGACTCTTTTTCAGTTTTCATAATTCAGTTTTTAGTACAATACTCAGCATAATCATTTATTTGTTTGTCTCCTTTATTATGCCATTGCGTTGTTCTCTCTTTATTGTATTTTAATATTGTTGTGTGTTTATGGGAGTTTTTTTTTTTTAATATTTCTAAATATTATCACTTTAAATTATTATTTTTTATTGTACTTTTTATGTTGAGAGGAGTTTCAAATGAGTATTTTAAATGTTTCATATATATTTGTATATTACTATTAACTATTCTGTACATTTAAAATTTTCCTTAAGTTTGCAATAAAGTTATTTTGAATCTTTTGAATCTTGAAAAATTGAATGTTCATTGTGTTTTAATATGAGAGATTATTGGCGTTACCAGTTTCGGTGAGGACAAGTAAATTCTGAATCTGAGACGGGCTGATATGGAAAGTAAACGGCGTTAAAAAAAGAAAGAAAAACACTTACAAAGACAACCAAGGCTACGCAAATTCCGACTAGGAAACGGAACCGTCGCAACATATCAATTCGTGGCTGTATCCTGTAAAAGAGTCGAAAAGTAACAGCACTTCATTGGGGTCAAGCTCGCTAGTCATAAGGTTCGCTATTCATAAGGTCTAACCTATACCAGAGGGTCTCTAGTCATAAGGTAACCTATACCAGAGGGTCTCTAGTCATAATTGAAGAAGGGTTCGCTATTCATAAGGTCTAAACTATACCAGAGGGTCTCTAGTCATAATTGAAGAAGGGTTCGCTATTCATAAGGTCTAACCTATACCAGAGGGTCTCTAGTCATAATTGAAGAAGGGTTCGCTATTCATAAAATATAATGAGCACTTTCATAATTCCGCTAGTCAAATGGAAGAAATAAATTAAGAAAGAAAATATATATA